CTAACCGCAACACATTATTCGTGCTACAACATCACTATGCTGCTGCCCCTAAATGTAAGTTTAAAGTTGGTCAGTAGAAGTTTTTACACCAAGCTTCTACACAAATACTTCTACAGTGTTTCTTCCAGACTTTTTTCTTCGTGGGGGCACTTGAAATTTTCGGGGGGGGGGGGGGGGGCGGACACTGTTAAAAGTATATATTTTCTGTATAAATTATATAAATTTCATTTCGTTCGGGGGGGGGGGGGCGCGGTAGTTTTTTTTCGGGGGGTTTCGACACCCCCCCCCCCCCCCCGAAGATATGCCTGGAAGAAAACTCTGTATTTCTATTACTAGCTTTATTACGCCGATCTTCTCGTTCAGTTGCGTTCTACCGATACTTGCCATAAATAAGATTCGTTATTTGGCCTTGACCTACATGGAAACCCTTATACGGAATTTCCACTTACATAATACGTGCTTGAAAAAAGGAACCAACGTACCCATTTCTGCACGTGTTTGTTTTTAAAAATCTTTTTCAAATAGACCCAAACCTAACAGGGTAGCTGACATAACAGTCAAGTTTTTTTTTACTAATGACTTAACAAAGGAAAGTGTCCCCCCCCCCCAAACTTTTTCTCCCGTGCCCTAGCGAACACCTTTTGTTACCTGTATCCAGTTGCCGTGATGTATTGACATGTCGCCCGTGGCCTGACCGCGGGCTGTCACTGGCTATTGTGCTTGAAACATCCTCTACCTGGACCGCTGAGATGGACTCTCTCCCCTCCCCCCACCAAACCCCTAATCCATATTGACACGTTAATCTTCTTTTGTACTGACCCCCCGCCCCACCCCCTCTTCTTCCCTAACATAATTTGTACAATTTCAAAGTGTCCTTTGACTCACCCCTCCCCCCCTTCCCCATACCATAATGGTCAAACTATCACCGTTAGCGACGCAGTGGAAGGTACCTGCTAACTAGGTTGTCAAGCCCCCCCCCCCCCCGGGGACTGTTTAACTTGGCAATACACCTGAGCCGAGTCCCGCAAGAAACGACGGTCCCCCCAGTCGCGTCAAATTATGATCAGGCTATCGGTCACTTCCGGTATAGTTTGTCTCCAAGTTTCTTCTCCACCGCTCTGTTGATGCATACAGTCGCTGGGGTTCTCAACGTGTGAATGGGGTCTACACGATTTACTTAATGAGCATTGTTGTCCCTAGATCAAGAAAACATTGTGATTTATTACCGTTTTTTTTTAATTTTAATATGCTTGATTTATATCATATCTTAATGAGGTTCTTTTAAAGTGCGGGATGGACAGTGTTTCTTCCAGACTCCGGGGGGGGGGGGGGCGGACACTAGTAAAAGTATATGCTTACTATATAAATTCCATCTCGTTTGGGGGGAGGGGGTGGCGGTAGATTTTCATCGGGGGCAGAGTGGGCCCCCCCCCCCCCAACTGCGGACTTTGATAGATTTATTTTAAAACAAAAAAAAAAACCATAATGTACATCTGCTAGTGTGAGAAACTATGGCTCTCCTTAAAAACTGCCGGAAAAATTTTGGTTTTCTTTGTTTTATTGTAGTCTAATCAAGTGAGGGCGCCTAGGGTATCCTTACAAAGCACTGAAAAACTGATAGTGGCCACTGATGTTAACACTTCACTATTGTCAAGTCCCTCGTTGTTAAGTTATTGATAATGTGGATTCGAATAGAAGGATGAGGAGAATTGTAATAGAAAAATTGCATTGGCATATTATTAACGATAGCGTGATTTAAATGCTGTAATTTTTTTTGTTCTGTTTAGCCTTTATGGTTTGTCCATAAATGACGTCACACTCTTTGGGGAGGGGAGGGAAATTTTGTGACATTGTGTGACGGGGGGGGGGGGTGTAGGGGGATTTTTTGACGATGTGTGAGGGGGGAGGAAACACTTTATCATTTTAAAAAGTAATGTTAGAAACCAAGTGTAGTGGTTAGTTCAGGTTTTAAAAAGACCGTTCTTGTAAATGGTATTTGAAAAGTTCAGTAAGTATTTTAGAGAAAATATCGATGTTATAAACATTCATTTAAAAATTGAATTTCGTGGTGGGTTGTAAGAGATGGTGGAGTGGGGGTGGTCTTGCTGTTTTTCACGATGTGAAGGGTGAGGTAAACATTTTTAAAATCGTGACGTCATTTGGGGATCACATCTAACGTGCTAAATAATGCAACCCCCCCCCCCCCCCCCCCCCCCCCACACACACACACACACGAGTTTTCAAGTTTTTCTTTACTGTTGTGTTCAGCAAAGCTTGCTGATAGACACATCTGACTTCACTTACAACAAGCTTTCAAATTATGAACTTGAACAACATGTCGACCCAACATTTGTCCATTATGTTATCACGTGAACAAGTTCACGGTGACAACAAATCGTGTCAACATATCCTGGCCAGTTCCAGTTGATATGTTTTCAGTTCACTTCACTGAGTGATTGCTTTAATTGTCAGAACCGTGGAGAATTTTTCTTAAATCGTGCGATGTTTGACTGTTTCTTCAGTAGACGGAGTTTGATTATTTGTATCACTATACAACACTGATTATATTTTAGCATGGGATTATTTATGGCAAGTAAGTGGAGATCTTGGTTGTTTGGTTTGGGCGGTTTAGTTACAGTAAATATGCTTACTATCTAGTTCTTAATCTTTTACGAGACTACACTACGCATACTTCTGTGTAAGAGAGAACAACATTGAATATAAGTTTTGAAAGTTGTCCTTTTATAATTTATTGATTTATTTTAAAATAATAGTTATATCGCCTGGATATAGTGTGATAATATATAATTGTTAAAACTTGCACCCTTATTTATGTTCTAATTTCTTTACTGTAAAGAATAGTGGTTATAGCGAAGAAGTCATTTTTTTTTATAGCCGCCCATGAAATCAGCACGACGGGATGCCTTCCCTTGTATTTAGTTAGCGTTTCGTGTGGGCATTTATTTGTCTGCAAAAATTCAGGTCCAAGTTTTCGATTTTGCCCTGCTTTTTGTGTTACTCAAGCGGCTTGTTCAGTTGTGTCTTAACATGATTTTCTCACCTTGTTTTTTTTTTTTTTTTGAGTATTCTTTGGTAGACTTTAGAGAAATCCCGTGCTAGCGAAAAATATAATCATTAGTGACGTCGGGATTAGCTCATGGGGAAAAGGGTGTTAGAATTCCATAATTTGTATTCAATAATGCTAATAAGATAAATCCTGCGTATAGTGGAGGTAAATATGGAAGCGAAACAAGCACGCTGTTGCCTTTTGCTGTAGAGAACAGTAAGAGATGGCTGTCATTTTTTGAAAAGGAGGGGGGGGGGGGTTAAATGGCGGGGTCTAAACTCCCCCCCTCCCTCCTGCTTACAGCGCTAAAAAAAGAAAAACACGAATACGATAGTTGTATAATCTTTTAAATTTTCTACTAAAAACGATTTTTTTTTTTATTTTGGCAGTTGATGCGACAGCTCTAGAATAAAAAAAAAAATAGTGACAGTTTACATGAGTGTCTGGTGGAGAAGTGGTCACATTTTTTTATATTGCGGCTGGGAGAGGTGGCTTTTGCCTTAGTGTAGGGGAGGAGTGGCAAAACCCATTTGTCGCATCTTTAAACATGTAAATTCTGGGGCGTAAAACTAAACCCGCCTAAGTGCTAAAATGTGTAGCCGGGTCGTTGTATAAATCAGTTTTATCGCTTTTTCTTTTCTTTTGTCAGAAATCTTACCTGATCTGTATTAGTCTTGAGGTTTAAAAAATAATCAGGAAACTGTTGGTATTTTTTATGTTGAGTTTGTTTGCGAGATGAAAAATGTTTTTGTGGGTTGAAAAGTTATCCGGAAATAATAGTCATAAAAAAAAGGCCTAGCCCTCACACCCAGGCTGTCCCCAAATTGTGGGGTGGGATGGCGACGGTCATGGGGATGACTGTTAGATGACCCTGGGATTGTTGGTCGCGTCGTGGGAACCGGAAGACGGGGTATTGTGGTGAAAGACGTCGGAATGCCGAGGTGTGGGGCGGGATGTGGATGGGGGGGGGGGGGTGAATGGAGAAAAGAAAGTTGGAGTTTGCTGAATTTTAAGGTGGAGATGGGGGAAGTGTATTTTAATGGGTGGGGCAGGTTTGGCTTAAACACCGTAATTTTATGGAGGGTCAAGGTTGTTGGGTGATTCACCGGAGTATTTTTTAGAGCCAGTATGCAAACGCATGCGTTTTTAGCTTTTTTTCACATTTTGAAAAAAAATATCAGAATTTGTCCCAACATTGTAATAAAAAATTACAATTCCTACATATCCTATAAAGTTATCAAAGATTAATTTGCATCTGATTATGTTACTTGAATCAGCTATGGTACTAGAGTCAACCAGTGTTTCTTCCAGACTTAAAAGTATATAATTTCGATTTCGTTGGGGGGGGGGGGGGGGGTAGACTCTTCAGGGGAAGGGGGGAGATGTCTGGAAAAGATGCTGGAGTCAACTTGAGTACGGTATTCATTTGTATGGTCCCTAATTGGATGCTTTGCTAATTCGCAACCATTGTTGCCATATTTGGCAAAAAACGTGGGTCGGGCAGATTTATGATTAAAGCGAAAAGCACACAACACACGAATTTTGGAAATTTGATTGTGAACGTACCCACGTTTTTTGTCATCAAATGTATGAACAGTCATCACAAGAACCTGCACAGCTCGAGGAAGCACAAAATCTACGAGCAGTCATTGGTAGATCCCCTAGGGTCGGAAGAAAAATTTATTTTCTACTTTTTAGTCCACAAGAAAAACGTGGTTTTTTTTTAAAGTTTTTTTTAAGTATTTTTTCTATTTTGTTGGATGGGGTAGCTGGTGAAAAGGGGAGGGGGGTGGTGGACATTCCCTCCCTCAGCAAAGTTTCCACAAAAAACCACTGATTGTATTCGCTAAGTATAAGACATGACATTTACAACTTTTGTATTTAAATTTGTTTTGGGCATACATTTAAATCTATCAATTTTTTCCCCCAACAGATTCACTGCTGTGTCCACTGTTGATATGGAATTTGAAAGAATTGACATGAACCAATGTCCAGAGATGCAGGGTAACCCCCTGCCTAATGCCTTCGCTAACACTGCTAGGTGTCGCCCATCTACAACTGTAAGTTTTCCTGATAGCTTGGATTCTACTGTCTAGATCTAGTCCTAGTTTGCTTAGCTGTAATCATATGGTAGCTCATGGTTGCTAATCCGAAAAGTCCCGAGTTCGAACCCTCGGGCAGATGAGGCTCGTTAGCTGGGGACAGCCACTCCTCTAGGAGAGACAACTCCAAAATCAAACAACTGCTGCCTTGTAGTTTGTTCTTGGTTGGACAAAGGCTATGGAAGCAAATCCAAAAAAAGAAAAGCAGGCTGAAATCAGTGTCAATGGCCTCAATGGCGCATAACCAGTTGAAACTTATCCTTAATTGTGATGGAGGCGTGGTCGAGTCTGCAAAAGCTCATGGTTTAAATTCGAAAAAGTCTCGACTTCAAACCATCTGGCAAATAAGGCTCGATCCCTTCCAACACTAAAAATTAAGAATGAAGAAGAAGAAGAAAAGGTAGTTATGGGTCTTTAAGTTAACCCATTGAACTTGATGGTAAATAGAACATAATGTAGAGTTTATCTGTTATGTGACAGAAGCTGGTGTGGTCTAGTTGATTACGCTCATGGTTGCTGAACCGATAAGTCCCTGATTTAAAAAACCCTGGCAGATGAGGCTTGATAGCTGAAGAAAACAACCGTTCTTGGAGAGACAAACTCCAAAATCAAACAACTGCTGTAGTTTGTTCTTGGTTGGACAAAGGCTATGGAAGCAAATCAAAAAGAAAAGCAGTCTGATGTCAGAGTAAATGGTCTATATGGTGCATAACAAGTTAACACATATTACTTAATTGTGTTGGACTGAATCCCCTATAATTAAGAATGCAGGAGAAGAAAGAAGTTATATGACCGTGACATATGATGGTATAGTGTATTGTGACTATAGCATATGATGGTATAGTGTACTAAGTACTATTCCCAGCCGCCTTTACTTTCCCATTTACGAAATAAGGTACCATTTAGAGCTGTGTGGGCTCAGGGACATCCTCTAGACATCCATCCAAGAACTGAACTTGAGACATTCTAGTTACCATTACAGTCCTGCTTGTTTTGTTAAGCAATTTCTTTTATATTTTCTAAATTTTTGTCTTACTTTTAAAAAAGCTAGTTCTACTATAACTATCTCTTTAAAAAATGATTTATGTGCTCTACAGTGTGAGCCTCTGATGGGCTTTGGTTTCCGTCGCGGTGGTTACCAGTGTGTCTGTAACCCTGGTTACTACTACCCCTGGTGGCATGACGGGCCCTTCATGGGCCTGGAGCTAGAGCAGGCCACCAGATCTGAGTGGGAAGTTGGATTTGACTGCCTCACTGTAGCAGGTATGTTTTTTTTTATTCTGGAAGTTTTGATTTGAAAATACCAATTTTTAAAATCTACTGACTGTTTAATATCTTTTTTTTTCTCTCAATTTAGCATATACTTCTAAAACAAACATAATTTAAATCAACTTATCATTTGTACTTTAATAAAAATGAAAATAGTCTAGGATAGAGGATGTAATAAATTGTAGATTGGAATAGTATCTGCATAATTTTTTATCTCTAATATTACTTTAATAAAATTGAAAATAGTTTAGGATAGAGGATGTATTAAAATGTGGATTGGAATAGTATCTGCATAATTTTTTATCTCTAATAAAAATGTTAAGTAATATAAGGCATGTGAATTTTAATATTTTTTTAGCATAATTTTTATCTTTCAAACTTGTTTATATTTCAAACTTGTTTATAAAAATGGATATAACACTGAGTGGGTAATTAGAAAAACATGGAATGGATTATTTAGCACAATTATTTTCCTCCACCAGATCGACAGGTAATTCCCAATGTGATGCCAACATTTGTGAGGAAAAGGAGGTCAGTAGCTTCCAGCAAGGATCTCTTCCTACAGGAAGTCTTGCCCCAGAATCAGAGCCCACGTCTGACCAGAGCCTTGAAGCGGACGCTCATCCCCAGGATCCAAGAACTCAGAGAAGAGTTCCAGCGCCAGAAGAGAGAAGCTGATGCTGCCAACCCTAAAGTTACCATCAAGAAGAGATTCACCGCTAAGCAGAAGGTGCTGTATTCATCTGTTGATTTTAGTAACTTTCAATTGTTGCAATTGAAATAGTAGTAAAGTTCCTTTCAAACCTGGCGGTCTATGGGGTGAAGTACAATTCACTTGTTTCTGTGACCTCGGCATATGAAGGGATAGTGTGGTCAGCACTATGCCCAGCCGCCTTTACTTTCCCTAACGTTAGTTAGGCACCCATTAGAGTTGGGTGGATTCAGGGATGGTCTACTGACTTGAACCCGGATTCAAACTCGAGACTTACGTGCTAGCAGTCCAGCTCTCTACCGCTAGTCCACCCCGTCCCTCAGTTAAAATAGTAATACCAAGAAAGAAAGATTCTTAAAAACAAGGCATGTTTTGCTTACTACTCAATGTTTTCAAAAACGTTTAACATTATCTACTAGTTTCTCTACATGTCCTTGCTAATTATAAACATATTGGAAAATAATTCATGGGTTTTAAAGTGGTGTACCTCATTCTTCTATGTTTTGTTCTCAGCCATTCGTCAGCACCGCACACAGGCGCCAGAAACGCGAGGCCACAGACGAACAGGCTGTGAACCGCATGATGAAGATCCTACAGAGGTACCAGCAGACAACTCCAGTGACTTGCAAGGACATGAAGGCCTACGAGCTTCTGCTCCCCGGTGATGCTGCGTATGGTATGAACACCCAGTTTGAAGCCCAGGGACGCACGGCTCTGCGTCTGGCCCATTTCTTGTCAAACTTCTTGCAAAATGTGGACGAGTACGAAGTGAGTGCCTTTGTTTCTTGAGTTTCTTGTTTGTTTACTGTCCAAAATCAAGTTATTTGAAAAATCTAGAACTTTTTCCTTTAGAAATTTAAAAAAGATCTTTAAATACTGATAGTATAGTTTTTTTTAGTTATCACTTTTAGGTATATTATGGTCAGGGCTATATTTGTAATTAAAGAAATGTTAAGACAGTAGTTCTGCCTCATGCAGAACTACTCAAAGGACTGAAATAAATGGCAGAAAATATGAGAAAATTAACTTTGATGATTAACGGTGATTGAATGAAGATAATAGTTGAGAAATGATACAACTGCATATAGTTAAAAATACATTAGCTTATTACTTAGTATAAAAAGTTCACTTTCTGTTCAAATTTTAGGAATTCGGTAATTTGAGAGGCGATCGCCGTTTGAACGAGTCCCAAATTTTTGCCGAAGTTGTTGCCAACGTCATGGCCGACTGGAAGATAGTCGGCAGTGGCGTCTTCTTTGACCGCTACAAATTCCGCATGTCGCCACCTGTCAACAACACTGACCCACGTTTTGTCAACGGCATCACAAGAGAGTTCTTTGGTCCCTACGCCTGGAAGGTCAAGGCTACAGGTGTTGGCAGTGTGGGAGGGGCTGACTTCTTCAGGGCCATGGATTTCGCTGGCTTTAAAACTTACTACACTAATGAGCCTTGGTTCCGGAGCATGAAGTCAAGATGGGCGACAAACTTTGTCGCCTTGAAGAAGTTTACTGCCAAACCTATGATCAGGTACAAATAAGTTTCTAGTCCATGCATTTCTTTTTTTTTTGTTTCATAAGGGAAACATTTTCGCTTAACGGGTAGAATATATTGTAAAACTGACTTTTTAAAATTAGTTTGCAATAAAAACCTTTAAAACTGTTCTGTGTATTAAAATGTAGAATTTTCTACAAAATCTAAAAATTCAAGCAAAATGTATATAATGGCATGTTCATAAATAATTTCTAACACTGAGCATTTTTTCATGGTAGAATACTTTGTACTAAAGGATTGCAATTACTTTATGAGAAAAAATTGAATATCTCATAACATAAATGAAAACCTTTTCATATTTCCTCAGGTCAAATTATGAAGGCACCAGTCTTGTTAGATTTGAGTACTACCCATACACCTACAAAGCAGCCCAGTATGAAGACGGTGAATGGCTGAGGCCCCAGTTTAAATGTGATGACAGAGTTAACACCTGGGTTGTCACTTACCTGGCACCATTCTTTGGCAAAGATGATATTAAAGAAAACATCGAATTTAAGTGAGTCATTTTGGGGCACTCACGTCTATAACATGATAAAACATAACTATAATAGAGTTAAAAATAGATCCCTTTTAGATTTGTGGATTTTTCAAACTATTGTAGTTCTGAAATGAAAATCTGGTCACCTATACATTAAACTAATCGTAACTAGAATGTCAGGTTATTAACAAAGAGTTAGATAGGGTCAGTATACTTTGTATAAAACATAGGCTAGTGTAGATGAAGGCCTGTTATAATTGAGGAGTCCACTTGCAAAACCTATGTTACTTCTGGCTGATTTTGAGGAAATTGACTTTTAAATTCATTTTTGGTTTATTATTCTTAGTATTTTTTATTTTTTTACTATTACATAATTTATTTTAATGTATACCTTTTTGAAAAAAAATAGTATACTACTTTAGTTGCCACTAATTAAGAAGACTAGATAGGAATAAATCATTTTTTTCAAAAAGTGGAATTAGCAGGTTTTGCAAGTGGACACATCAATTAAGCTTATTTATATTTACTAATGCTAGTTGATATTTTAAAAAATTACCTCATTCTCCAACTATGTGTATCGATTTCTTCATTAGAAAGCTTTGAAAACCATGACCTTGACATTTCAGGGGTGTTGTATCTGTGGATGTTGCACTGAATGAGCTCAGCTTGAACCAGTGTCCAGGAGATTTCCACACACCCAATGCCTTTAAAAACACAGCTCGTTGTGACTTTGAATCTCAATATGTAAGTTTTCAAAATTTTGTTCCTTCAACTCCTGAATTTTTTCTGAGCTGCTTTGATATTTATTTACTGCACTGATTTACATTTTTGTTTTAGCATTAAATCTGCATCGTAATTCATTTTTTCAACTGCACCTACATTTTCATTTATTGTAATACTTTTTTACTGCACTTTTTTTTACACATTTTTTCTGCAATATGTTTCCATTCTGTGCTCAATATTGTTTCCTTCCAGCACTTTTTAAGTGCCCAATGTTTGAAAATGTGTTGAAGTTATAAAGTAAATTAAGATATTTCACCATGCAATGTAAAAAGTCAGTTGAGCTGTTGAGGAAATCTAAAATTTGATGTTTACTACATAAATTTCAAGCAGTCAAGTCACCCATTATATCATGAAAAATAATTTTAAATTGAAGGACAGTTTATGCACCTTTTTATTTCATGAATTAACAAATCATTGCACGTTTGTTCATATTGAACTTCTTTAGGAAAGTGTCCAATTTTTTTTTTCGCTGATATAACTATAATTTGCCAGCACTTTTCTTTCTTGCTTATTGATATAACTATTCTACATATGTCGAAAAACACTATTTTTTTTTAAAATTACATATTCCACTTTTGCCTGTCCTTACAAAATACATCAGTCTGGCTGCTTATTTTTGTTATAAAAAAAAAACTTTTGACAGGTTTTAAAATAACCTAGCTTAGATTTAGGGAAACCTATTTTGACATTGATTATAAACTGCGCAGAAGGGTGTAAGGAATGAGAAAGTCTCACCCAATTAGTAGACCTTTCTCATGGTAGCCAGGCGTCACCTGGTCTGTCCTTTGATTTTTTAAAAGTGGCAGCCTCCAGCTTTGATAGACACTAATTGGCTGTCATGGTTTTGCCTTGTCCTGTTTCATTTCTTGTTGGGCTCACTTGAGGATGAAAATGTAAGGGGCATCACTCTCCCAGTTTACTTGAAGTTTGTGGTTTAGGCGGGTTGTGGGACTTGACTTCAGTTGTGCATACTGTTGTTGCTTTTGCAGTTGACTTTTATGCCATGTATTTGATCCATTTAGTTGTTAGTATTGTATGTAGATATATAGAAGGGAAAGGTATAATTATGGTATTTTTTAAAAAATACATTATCAAAATAAATATCAGTATTATATTTAGATTAATTTTCATTTAACATTTTTGTAGTCTTTAAGTTTAATTTTAAAAATTGTATTTTTATATTTTTAACTTCGCATTTAATAACTGCTCAAATGTGTATTTAAAGTTATAGCCCATTAATGTAATGCTTCTTCACAGTTGTGCTAGCACCTTGTTTTGTCTGCCTGTTTTCGTGTATTGCTATTATTTTAACACTCCTGTTCCTGTCCTTGGCACTGGCGGAATAGTCACGGGATGAAGGCAGTGATTGTTTCCTGGTGCCAATAACAGTGGCAGCGACGGTCGACACTGATGACAGGAGCAGAGAAACGCTTGCGCATGCTTACAATTTCTTTTATTTTTATGCTTATTTTAATTTTAATACTAATTGATCATTCTATCTAGCCATAAATACTGCATTATAATCTCATCACTTAATTTTATTTTTAAAATTATTTGTTAGATAATATTAAATTTAAGCAATTTTAGAGAAAAATTTTGTAGTTAAAATTTTGAAATTTTTAAAAATATATTATTTTATACTTAACATTATACAATACATATGTTTAAATGAAACAGCTTCCTTATCTTTTTTTACTTAAATCTTTCTTCAGTGTGTTCCTGTCGAAGGCAGAAGGTATCAAACTGGTTATTACAAGTGTGAGTGTCGTCAAGGCTTTGAATACACTTTCAATGATCTCAACTGGTACTTTGATGGCCAGACGATGGAACAGGAGTTCAGCAAGATGATTCGAGGCCAGCCAAACAGGTCTGTAGCTTCTTGCAATAAATATTAGACTGTTTGTAAAGAGATGTGTAATTAAACCAAATATGTTTATATGGTTGTACCATACCTCAATGGGGGATGGACTGGCCTTGTGATAGAGAACTAGATTACCAACCTGTAAGTCTCAAGTTTGAATCAGTGTTCAAGTCAGACCATCCCTGAGTCCACCCAGCCCTGACGGGTATCTGACTCAAGTTAGGGAAAGTAAAGGTGGTTGGGCTTAATGTTGACCACACTAACCCTTCATATACCGACGTCACAGAAACAGGTGAAGTCTACTTCACTCGCCCCATAGACCATCAAGTTTGGAAGGGGAACTTTACTAACATACCCCAAAAGAAATACTGTTGATGTATTGATCCTTTCTGAGAATATAAAACCCTTTTAAACCAAAATACTCCAAATTCACGTTGTAAAGTTAGACAGTCAAAAGGATTTTTATTAGCTGTTTGTGTGGCTGACGTAGTAGAGTACCCACCCTCTTCACTTTCCTCAAGCAAAGTCTGTTTCCTGTCATATGGGTATATCATAGAGACTCATCCCCACCAAACTATCTAAATGTCTTACTTACATAAAGTTAAATGCTAGTTCAATATTACATTCTCTAAATGAGTTAAGAACCAAAAATACTTCAATTGCTTTATGCCCTGCAGATAGAATCTTCCTCATCAGTTACACTCTGGTTAGTTCAGTTTTTTAAAAACTTTTTAAATATTTTGTTTCAGGTTTGAGACATTAAAATGCCGTAAAGCAGGAGCCGCTTCAATCACAGCCAGCCTCACTTTAGTAATCTTAATAGCTTTGGTAAATTTGTTGTGGACTAGACAGTGATATGGTAGTTTAGAGACAGATGCAAATGTGTTGATTGATCTGTGTGCTTGAGATTTTTTTGTATATACAAAAACACAATGAAATTATTATTATTTTTGTACTGGTTTTGACTTTTTCATACTAAAACTTTAAAAACTCATTTGAAAATCATAGCGATGTTTTTGCAGCTCAGTTTTAATTTTTATATAAGATTAGATCACACTGACCATACCTGAAATACTGCCCGTTTTTAAGTGCCACAACAAAATTTCTAACACTTATTTACCTCAACTTATGATTTTTAAATCTGCTAATAATGCTAAAAATATTTTGTATTCCTAAAAATCTAGCTGAAATTAGTTAATTTTATATTGTCCTTTTATTTCTTGCATATATTATCTAAGGTACAGAAAAGTCCAAGAAAAAAGACTTTTTGTTAATGTAAATAGTTGATCAATATATATTTGTAAATGCTTTGTTAATGTAAATAAATGTTTATTAACTTCAACATAATCAATTTTAGCCCTGAACATTGAACTTTATGATTTTAGAAAAAAAGTATTTAAAATAGTCCTGACAAGTTGATTCACTCTTAAAGATGGAATGTGAGTAGGGGTTTTAGGGGCTAGAACTAAAAAATCAAATTTGATGTGGAAAATTAAGATTCAGCATGAAACACTCATCCATCATTGTAAATAGTTCTTTCATCAACTGCAGCATATTGTGTTTGGTTGTTTATATCAAGACAATGACATAATGTGTATAAAAAGCTTATTTTTAAATCTTATAGCCGTATGCAAGAAGAAAAATTACTTTGTCTTGTTTATATACTTTTACAAAAGACTTTGTAATCTTTATCTGAGTGTTAACATTTTTTTTCAACAAAGTAAATTTTAGTTTATTTTTTAATGCATATTATATAGTTCATTCACATTCCAATATTTCTACAATTTATTCTGTATGGAAAGATTATGAATTTATTAAAATTTTTATAGATTTGTTGATCTTTTTTAATTTTTCATGATTACATGTGTCTACCATTTTCTGTTTTATTAGAGTCAAGGTAAAAACACAACACTTAAGTTAAGCTAACAATTTATTGTCCATTTGGTCAAGAGTATATTTATAAATGCTTCAAATATTGCACAATATCAATAAATATTTCTCATTCAAGCCCTTAGTAAAACTAAAATATCTGGAGTAATATACATTTATGTTGAAAACAAAGCCTGGTAAGAAATGTAAGAGAAAAAACAATTTGGATATTAATTTTACAACTAATGCGCAGTTGCTGTTTAACATGTGGACCAGTCAAGATTAAATGAACATTACACTATTGTAAATAGACAAAAGTATGTACAAATTTACATTTTAAAAAAAGTTGTAAATTAATACTGCTTACATATTATTCTAGTAAAAATTTTAAGTTTGAATACATTTACAAAGAATAAAAACGTACAAAAATTTTTGCTCAGTTACATATTGTTTATACATAAAATAACTAACTGGAATGCTAATAAATAATTGATCCAACAGTAGTGAATTTATGTAATGCTAGCTACAAAGAGGGAGTGGGAGAAAACAAGTTTAAAAATAGCAAATAAAGCTATATCAATTCACAGAGTAAACTATTGATTTAGATAAATTGGTACACAGTAGAGGTTTTGTTTAGCTCAGCAGATAAACTACGTACAAAGTATTTTTTACTTACTTTTTTTTTGTAAAGTCTAGTTAAAATAACTTTATGGCAAGCCTACTTAAAATAGAAACTAGCAAAAAAACGTAAGTTTATGATTGCTAATGCCTTTTTTGAGTATTGCTTAAAGTACTAAACCACAAACAATACAATGGTATGTCATCAGCACAGACATGTACGGTTAGGATAAATAAATATAATGACCAGCAGCTTACTGAACACTGTCCGATGAAGTTTTGGTATCATTGTAACTGGACAAGTTAACATCAGGGTGCAGAAAGTCAGAGGACAAGGTTGGAAGGGGTGGGGGAGGCAGGGTGGCTTGGGGTGAGACTGGGGGGAGGGGGAGTATGCACTTCTTCTGTTTACAAGCCGGGCCATGGCGGGTCAAGTTTGCTTTGGTGCGGAAAGCTTTGCTGCAGTGTGTACAGACATAGTTGCGCTCGTTGATGTGGATTTTTAAGTGTTGCTTGTAGACTTGCTGCTTGTAGAAGATCTGAAAAACACAGTAAATTTATTTTCTTTTGTAAATTACTAAACAAATAAACCATATCTTGATGTAGTATATCACTTTCAGACATCTTTTAAACAGCATAAAATAAATTCAAGGTATTTTAATGATACACATAGATTATAGTATAATTTTAAATTATTATTATGTACAAACATGCAAAATCTGCTAAAATTCATATCTTCTTATTCTGACTCTAGCCGGTCACTTCAAGCCAGTGAATGAACTGTATGGTCTATGTTCAAAGTTGGCCGGTCAATGTAAGGCAATATATGTCACTTCATAAACTGGTAAACTTTGGGCTTTCGTAGTAAATATAATGCACACACATCTAGGCATATAAATACAGAATGCAAAAATTGCAAAACAGATTGCAATGATGCTAATGGCTCTGTACAAGAATTACAACCCTACATTATCACAGTGGACACTCTGAATCTAAAAAACCTACCTTATCACAATGGATGCACTGAATCTTACAACCCTACCTTATCACAATGGATGCACTGAATCTTACAACCCTACCTTATCACAGTGGACACACTGAATCTTACAACCCTACCTTATCACAGTGGACACGCTGAATCTTACAACCCTACCTTATCACAGTGGACACACTGAATCTTACAACCCTACCTTATCACAGTGGACACACCGAATCTTACAACCCTACCTTATCACAGTGGACACACTGAATCTTACAACCCTACCTTATCACAGTGGACACACTGAATCTTATAGCTCTGTACAAGAATTACAGTGGACACACTGAATCTTACAACACTACCTTATCACAGTGGACACACTGAATCTTACAACCCTACCTTATCACAGTGGACACACTGAATCTTACAAGCCTACCTTATCACAGTGGACATACTGAACCCTACCTTATCACAGTGGACACACTGAATCTTACAACCCTACCTTATCACAGTGGACACACTGAATCTTACAACCCTACCTTATCACAGTGGACACACTGAACCCTACAAACCTACCTTATCACAGTGGATACACTGAATCTTACAAGCCTACCTTATCACAGTGGACATACTGAACCCTACCTTATCACAGTGGACACACTGAATCTTACAACCCTACCTTATCACAGTGGACACACTGAATCTTACAACCCTACCTTATCACAGTGGACACACTGAATCTTACAACCCTACCTTATCACAGTGGACACACTGAATCTTACACCTCTACCTTATCACAGTGGACACACTGAATCTTACAACCCTACCTTATCACAGTGGACACACTGAATCTTACAAGCCTACCTTATCACAGTGGACATACTGAACCCTACCTTATCACAGTGGACACACTGAATCTTACAACCCTACCTTATCACAGTGGACACACTGAACCCTACAAACCTACCTTATCACAGTGGATACACTGAATCTTACAAGCCTACCTTATCACAGTGGACATACTGAACCCTACCTTATCACAGTGGACACACTGAATCTTACAACCCTACCTTATCACAGTGGACACACTGAATCTTACAACCCTACCTTATCACAGTGGACACACTGAATCTTACAACCCTACCTTATCACAGTGGACACACTGAATCTTACACCTCTACCTTATCACAGTGGACACACTGAATCTTACAACCCTACCTTATCACAGTGGACACACTGAATCTTACAAGCCTACCTTATCACAGTGGACATACTGAACCCTACCTTATCACAGTGGACACACTGAATCTTACAACCCTACCTTATCACAGTGGACACACTGAACCCTACAAACCTACCTTATCACAGTGGATACACTGAATCTTACAAGCCTACCTTATCACAGTGGACATACTGAACCCTACCTTATCACAGTGGACACACTGAATCTTACAACCCTACCTTATCACAGTGGACACACTGAATCTTACAACCCTACCTTATCACAGTGGACACACTGAATCTTACAACCCTACCTTATCACAGTGGACACACTGAATCTTACACCCCTACCTTATCACAGTGGACACACTGAATCTTACAACCCTACCTTATCACAGTGGACACACTGAATCTTACAACCCTACCTTATCACAGTGGACACACTGAATCTTACAAGCCTACCTTATCACAGTGGACATACTGAACCCTACCTTATCACAGTGGACACACTGAATCTTACAACCCTACCTTATCACAGTGGACACACTGAATCTTACAACCCTACCTTATCACAGTGGACACACTGAATCTTACAACCCTACCTTATCACAGTGGACACACTGAATCTTACACCCCTACCTTATCACAGTGGACACACTGAATCTTACAACCCTACCTTATCACAGTGGACACACTGAATCTTACAACCCTACCTTATCACAGTGGACACACTGAATCTTACAAGCCTACCTTATCACAGTGGACACACTGAATCTTACAACCCTACCTTATCACAGTGGACACACTGAACCCTACAAACCTACCTTATCACAGTGGACACACTGAATCTTACAACCCTACCTTATCACAGTGGACACACTGAATCTTACAACCCTACCTTATCACAGTGGACACACCGAATCTTACAACCCTACCTTATCACAGTGGACACACTGAATCTTACAACCCTACCTTATCACAGTGGACACACTGAATCTTACAACCCTACCTTATCACAGTGGACACACTGAATCTTACAACCCTACCTTATCACAGTGGACACACTGAATCTTACAACCCTACCTTATCACAGTGGACACACTGAATCTTACAACCCTACTTTATCACAGTGGACGCACTGAATCTTACAACCCTACCTTATCACAGTGGACGCACTGAATCTTACAACCCTACCTTATCACAGTGGACACACTGAATCTTACAACCCTACCTTATCACAGTGGACACACTGAATCTTACAACCCTACCTTATCACAGTGGACACACTGAATCTTACAACCCTACCTTATCACAGTGGACACACTGAATCTTACAACCCTACCTTATCACAGTGGACACACTGAATCTTACAACCCTACTTTATCACAGTGGACACACTGAATCTTACAACCCTACCTTATCACAGTGGACGCACTGAATCTTACAACCCTACCTTATCACAGTGGACACACTGAAACTTACAACCCTACCTTATCAGTGACACACTGAATCTTACAACCCTACCTTATCACAGTGGACACACTGAATCTTATTCTGCTTAGTGTGCTGCAGTTCATGTTGCTTGCGGGTGAAAGCTCGAGTGAACCTCTCCCCACAGATCCCACACTGTTCATTCTTCACAGGCATGTGCGTGTTCATGTGGTGTTTGAGGTGGGCTTTTTGACGGAAATCTTTGCCGCAAAGCTGACATTTAAAACAGCGTTCATCTGGGAATAGTTGGTATTTCTTTAAGTTGATGCTGTTAGTCAAATATTCTTAAAATATTTTAAACTTGATAAAAATAAGAAAAAGTTAATATTCAGTAACCTATACAAAATTTCAAACCTTTTTTTGTTTTGAAAATCTCATTTTACTTTAACATTTGTATATATGTATATATAAAAACAGGTGAACTCTACTTCACTTGCCAATTGGACCATCAGGAACTTTACTTTATTTACTTAAATTACATACCAACAATTTAGTTGATTTAAAAAAAAGACAATCTTTTGCAGATAAACTGCTTTCTAACAATAACAAGAAATAATTGAAGGGTCCACTTGCAAAACCTTCTAAGTCACTTCTGATCAAATTTGAGGATATCATCTTTTAAATTCTTTTTTTTTGGTTAACTATTCTATTAACTATGATTTTTAATATTTTTAGTATTACAAAATTTATTTTTTAAGTATACCTTTTTGAAAAAAAATTAGTATACTACTTTAATTGCCTCTATAAGAAGACTATAAGAGAAATTAAGAGAAATATTTTTTTCAAAAAGTGGACTTGGCATGTTTTGCAAGCGGGCTCCTTAAATACAGATTAAACTGACCACTGTGAGCTTTGACGTGCTTTCTGAAGTTGCTGCTGTCTGAAAACCTTTTGCCGCACTGGGGACAGACGTACTTTTTATCACGCAGGTGCACGGATGCAATGTGTGCGTTGAGGTGCGACACCTGGGAAAACTTTCTGTTGCACTGACTGCACTTCTTGGTGCACGGCTTTGGATGCTGCAGCCTTATGTGGTTACGCACCTGAGCACAAGACATTACGTTTAGACGATGTCTCGTTTGCATTGGACATTAAAAACAATTAAGGTATTAATTCTTGATTTAAAATGTATTGGCCCGTAAAGTTATATGAGTGGGGGTGGGGGTCACAACAGTTCTCCTGACATGGTTACACACCCGGGGTGAAGTAAAAATATTTTATCCATAAAGCACGTACTTGTTTTCTATCAGGGAAAACTTGTTTACAAACTGTGCAGTGTGGACAAAGCTGGTGGTGGGCATTTTTGGGCTTGGCTGAAATACCTAAAATAATAAAAACGATTTTTTTCAATGAGAAGCTAATACCATTAAAATAAAACAAAGTTTTTCATGAGGGTCATAGTTCAGAACCAAATACCAATAATATTAGCAACAATTTTTTCATGACTCACAAGGAGAGCGTAATATCTATAATAAAAAAAAAGTTGTTTCATGAGGCTTACAGTCCAGAACCAAATACATACATAATAATATAAATGGCATGTTTTTAAGAGGTTCATAATACAATATCATAAACATTTTTTCTAAAGTTCACAGTTAGTCTGATATTGGTACTTATAAGTTTATGGTTTCAGTCTCCAGCAAACAGACATTAAATGCCCATTTGTGCTATTAGCTTAGATGTAAGACAGAAAAAGTTTTATTTATTATACTTCTGGATATGATGATGCATCAAACAGCCTTCTTTATACTGCTAGGTACCCACTGCAGCTGAGTAGGCTCAAAGTTGTTCAGTGGAATTAAGCCAAAGATTTGAATTAAAGAATGTCAATTTGCAAATCACATACTCTAACACTACCTGTTCATGCACAAGACACATGGGGAAGATGTGTATTTCAATGACTTTGGCATATGAGGGGAGAGTGTGGTCAGCACTATGCCCAGCCACCTTAGTTTCCCTAAAGTTGCACAAAGTATCTTAACTTACACACAATAATATACTCAAATACACATTTTTGGGGACTGAGTGGTCTAGTGGTAGAGAGCTGGACTGCTAACCCGTGTGTCTCGAGTTCGAATCCAGGTTCAAGTCAGTAGACCGTCCCTGAGTCCACCCAACTCTGATGGGTACCTAACTCACGTTAGGGAAAGTAAAGACGGCTGGGCATAGTGTTGACCAAACTATCTCTTCATATGCCGAGGTCACAGAAACAAGTGAACTCTACTTCACTTACCCTATAGACCGTCAGGTTTGAAAAGGGAACTTTTGTTTTTTTACACATTTTTATATTTGCTAAAATGAACAAAACTTCATATCAAATGTGAGTACAAGGTGCCAAAAAGTACTTACAAACAATAATTTACAAAAATACACATATTACTACTACAATAATAAATGACAGCTTGAAGCACAAAACCAACATACCAAGCATCCTGGCATAGTCCTTAGCAAACCAGTACAAGAGTTCCTGGCCGGGCTCAATGTTGACGCGGGTCACAAAGTACACGCTGCTGCCGTGCTGGAACGCCACCAGATTTTGTTCAGACGACAGCCTCGCTGGTTTGACAAACATCAGCCAATTGGATGAGTTTTCATCACTTGTGTCCACCACTTTAGCATTGGTTCCGATGAAAGTCTTTTAAGTTTACAAAATAAAAAACAAGTTTTTGATATATGTCGAACTAAATTAAAAACTATATGAAAATTTTATAAAAATTAAATTTAACAAATTTTAAAAAATTATTTGTGGAAATTGAATTTAACTTATTTTAAAAAAAATATTTGTGTGAATTGAAATTTAATTTTTATAGGAATATTTTTTTAACAATTGAATTTTCATTTTATAAATTTGTAATATTATTCATGGAAGATAATATGTAGCACTGTAAAAATAGTTTTTAAAAAAACCAGTAGACTGTACCTGCCATAAGGAAAAACTTCTGGTTGAGCCCAGCTTGTCACATGACACTGGGGAGCCAATCAGAGGCCCAAACTTTGTTCTGACAGCTATACTCTCTTTAGCAAATACACCTGGCATTGGATACAATGACACAGTGACAACACATTTTCTGGTGTTAAATTTCAAACATAAAACTACCAGCTAGGTGTTGGGCATTAAAAAAAATATTTTGATTATTAAAGAGGTTACCCTTGGTGCTAGGGTTCAGTCAAATACAAGGAAAAGTTCAAATGTTTATGACATGGGTTAGCATTTTATCATCATATGTAAAATGACACAGAGGTCACTCAACCTTAATGAGTACCAGCCATTGAGTGGCGGGGAGAGGCGGGAAGAAAAATTGGTCTAAGCTTTGTGCTGGCTATAGAATTAGGTGATCTATACTTCACTTATATAGATTACAGTGGAAGGAAAGCATTTACTTAAAAACAAAGAATAATATACAATCTGGACACCTGCATATCTTAGCAAGGGAAAGTGTACAATTATGAAGGATTCTATATACTGATTTCTACACCACAGTGATAGAACTTACATACATCATCAGTACCAAAGCCTACCAATTTTATATTGTGTGTCTTACTGCAGACACTTAAGTACTGATTGCTACACCACAGTGATACAACTTTCATACACTATCAGTACCAAAGCCTACCAGTTTTATATTGTGTGTCTTACGGCAGACACTTAAGTACTGATTGCTACACCACAGTGATACAACTTTCATACACTATCAGTACCAAAGCCTACCAGTTTTATATTGTGTGTCTTACGGCAGACACTTAAGTACTGATTGCTACACCACAGTGATACAACTTCCATACAAAAACACAGCCTACCAGTATTATTGGTATGTCCAGCAATGTCCGAGGTGGCCAGCCTGAGGCAGTTGGGCAGGGTGAGCCTGGCGTGCGACAAGATGGGCGTGTCCGAGATGTAGGTGTAATCGCAAGGGTGAAACTTGCACTGGGCTTTGTACATCATGTTGCATTCAACACAAACTGATGGCACAAAAAAAAAGTAAATTCTTTCCCTTTAACAGACTAAAAATAATTTTAAATATTAAACTTTTAAATTCAAAAACCAAAAAAAAAAATTTAAGTAGTATAAATCTTCAATTCTAGAAAACACAAAAATGTTCAAATAGTAAATCATCAAAATCTACAACACACACACAAAATAAAAATAAATTAGCTTACAATTTCCAAGTTCCTGTGCAGCATCAATGGTTCCACCTCTACCATCTGGGTTGCCTCCCCTTACATACATTTCATACACTGCACAGAAAAATTCAAGATGTGATTTCAGATTTTTAAAAATATAAATAACTTCAGTAGACGTCTGATTTTTAACAAAAGTATAAGCATTGAATTAAAGAAGAAAAATATTTATTTATTTAACTCCTTTCTTGGTCTCATTTGGTCTTTATGAAAATGTTCAAACTATTGTAGAAAAACCTAAAATAAAACACTTACTGGACAAATTAGGGAAGGTTCCATTGTACATGTTCATCCCACTAGGATCAGGGGTGGCAGCTTGGTCCGCAACACTTGGAGGGGAGAAAGACGCACTGGGCAAGACAGGCTGTTTTTCTATGTTACTACCATCCTCATCGTCAGGGGGAAACCGGTACTCTAGATGTAGACCTGCAATATAGGCATAAGGTTACACTTGTTTTAGTGTGGTACTCTAGACCTGCAATATAGGCATAAGGTTACACTTGTTTTAGTGTGGTACTCTAGACCTGCAATAGAGCCTTAAGGTAAGTTACACTTGTTTTAGTGTGGTACTCTAGACCTGCAATAGAGCCTTAAGGTAAGTTACACTTGTTTTAGTGTGGTACTCTAGACCTGCAATAGAGCCTTAAGGTAAGTTACACTTGTTTTAGTGTGGTACTCTAGACCTGCAATAGAGCCTTAAGGTAAGTTACACTTGTTTTAGTGTGGTACTCTAGACCTGCAATATAGGCATAAGGTAAGTTACACTTGTTTTAGTATAGTACTCTAGATGTAGATGGGACGGAGTGGTCTAGTGGTAGAGAGCTGGACTGCTAACCCGTAAGTCTCGAGTTCGTATCTGGGTTCAAGTCAGTAGACCGTTCCTGAGTCCACCCAGCTCTGATGGGTACCTAACTCAAGTTAGGGAAAGTAAAGGCAACTGGGCATAGTGCTGACCACACTATCTCTTCACATGCCGAGGTCACAGAAACAAGTGAACTCTACTTCACTTGCCCCATAGACCAGTCAGGTTTGAAAGGGAAACTTTACTTTAGATGTAGACCTGCAATATAGGCATAAGGTAAGTTAAACTTGTTTTACTGTGTTCATGTTTTCCAGTCAGGCAATACAGCATAATTTTGACTTTGCTGTTAAAGTTAGGGTAAGATTTTATAAGGGTTAAGAACTGATAGCAATAAACTTCTTATAGCTAAGCCTACAATCAAGTATGGTAAGTAGAGTTTTTTAAACAAAAGAGTAGTACTGTTTGTTACCTGTTGGAGCAGTGCTGAATGGAATGTTGCATGACAGTGTGGCTGATGTGCCCAATTGGGGAGCCTCAGAGCCAACAGCACACTGCTGAGAAAACATCGGCAGATTTGAGGAGACGCTGGCGGTGTCGTAGTACTGAGATGAATACTGGCCGTCCATGAATCCAACGTTATCCCTGTGATCCGTGAATATCCGGGAAGAGTCCGGGTGGGAGAGAGACGAGGATGGGTACTGGTGGGTTTGGTGAGTGGAAGGGAGATCATCCATGTGGTACTCCAGGTCTTGGTGCGAGTGGGTGGGGTTGTAGTGGTGGAGATTCTGTTGCTCGTGGAGGTTGGCCTGAGGGGGGTGGGGGTGTTGGTAAAATAACCCATCCTGGTGGGTGTCTGTCTGGAACCCATTTAAATGCTGTAGCCTTTCGTTTGACCCCAGAAAGTCATGTGATAACGGCATGTTATTTTTTGTGATGTCTTGGACATTGAATGACGAGTCTTCAGTTAAATTAGTCGGCATGATGTAACCTGAGGCAGCTTGACTACCTAATGCTGAGTTCGCTTCACTGTCAAATGGCTGGGTCGCTGTGTTTTCGTAGGACTGGTGGGCGGGGTTCTGGAATGAATTTGTTTTAAAATTTGTGTCAGAGTCGTTGAACGTGGGAGACGGCTGGCTGTGAGTATGGTGTTCTAGATGAAGGAAATTATTGTTCTGTGAGTTGAAGGGGCTGCTTTGATTCAAACCCGAGTCTGGGAGATTTTTATGCGTGTTCTCCGGCTCCAAGAAGGAGTCTACCTGGCAACGAAATTGAGATTCGGGTGACATGTTGTTTTGGGACAAACTGAACGAAGACTGGGCTGTGCTGAAGTGCTGGTCCTGTAGGACTTCCGCACGCTGCATCGAGTGGTACGAAGAGCTGGATGTACCGGTGTTTAAAATTAAATGCCGTAGAATGTCTGTATCGGATTCGGCTGACTTATCCGGGGTTATGCTTGGCGAGACGTTGGATGTTTCCTGAAGACAGTTGTGCTTTTGAATATTCAAAGACGAACCTAAACTAGCCTGCTCGTATGTTGCTAGCAGTTCCTCGTCGCGCTTATCTCCACTTCTGTGAGATAGTGTAACCGGGACAGAGTTAGACTCGGAGTCAAGGTTCACCCTGACAACCAGGGGGTCTGAACAGGACTTGCAGTGAAAACTCTGGCACGAGTTGTGGTTAGAGCTATGCTGGTAGTTTTCTGAATAGTCAATTGGTTCGTTTTCTCTGTTTAAATGGCAACTAGAAAATGAGGTTTCGTAGGGTTTTGATCCCATGTCCTGCATGTTGAAGTCTCTATCTCCTTCATGAGCCAATGTAAGGTTATCTTGGTTGCTGGTTGAGTAGCTGGATGTGATGAGATCCAGTGCATTTTGTACAGATCTAAACTTCCCAGAAGAGGATGAGAGAGCTCGTGGATCTCTGTATAAAATATCTCCCTCATTTGGGTTATTGTTAATATGTGAATGACCAACATTATCAGGGTAAGACATGTTTTTTCCTGGGGTGCTGTTGAGATGCGAATGCGTGACGCTGTCGTTGTATGTCATGCTTTTTCCTGCAAATATGCTTTCAATTCTCTTTCCTCCGTTGATGTAGAAATTACCGAGACCAGTTTCGGGGTCATGGTTGTTGTTTTCCTGTGAGGTGGGGACGGTCAGTAAATCCTGGTGGTTGGTTAACAGTGGTGTGGGCACTCTGTTCAGCAGGTTGATGAGCATGGTGTTTGGCGTCATTGGTGGATTCAGTGGCGCAATGTGATCTAAAGGCTGGTTAGAGTTTAGGGATAATGGAGACTTGGGACTCGGCATGCTCAGTGGTGTGGAGAGGTTTTTAGGGGAGTTGGATGTTCTTTCACCCATGTGTGTGCGGGATTCCATGCTAGAGTGGTGGTCTAAACTCATGTCATTAGAGTAGAGAGAACTAGAGGAGGAATACAGGCCATGCTGGAAGCTAGATGGCATCTCAGCAGGGTTACTCTGATGTGTGTGTGCCAGGGAACAGTAGGATGACGCTGGGCAAACAGGCAAAGGGAATGCAAAATCTTCACTTTCAGAAGAAGGCAAGGGAAGGGATTTGGTGTCGGTTCTGATGGCGGCGTCGCTTTCCTTTTTCCTGGTTTCCGGAGAGGTGAGAAAGTTGTAGTCTATCTGTCTAGAGAAGCTGCCTCTGTTCTGCTGTTGTCGAATGAGGTCTGTCAGAGACAGAGGGCTCTGTGGGATATTTAAACTGCTACTGTGAGCCGATGTTTCCCAGCTTGCACCTGGAACTTTCTGTCCCTCGACTGTTGAACATTGACTGTTATTATCTGGTTCAAATATATTGTCTGCGATCCTTTTCATGGGGTCTTGTGGCGACTCTGCCTTCTCGTCAGAGCTGGGAGATGAAACATTGTCCATTTGTAATTGTTCATCGTCTTCACCTGTTTCAATGACCAGAGCTCTGGAGCTGGATCTGGAATCAGTTGACGAGCTACTGTCGCTGTTGCTGTCTTCATCGGCAAAAGTTTGGAAGCTAGCAGGAAGTTTCGCAGTGCCTTCAACGCTATGGTTCATGTTGGCGTGTTTCTCTAAGGTTAAATTTGAAGTGCCAGGCAAATCAGAAGATGCTGGAAATTCTGGAATTCTACTGCATGGTAAATTCTTACTTTTTGTGGTGACAAGACCAGGTTCAAGTTGTTGGGGCTTCTCAGGAACAGGTGGTTGAACTCTAGGGGAGGTGATGACAAAATATCCTTCTGAAATTCCCTGTTTTCTTAGCAACGACTGTAAATGTTGGATACCAGCAGGGGAGATAACTAGCTTGGCTTTATTGGAGGACGGAACAAGAAAATGGTTTTGTAATTTGTTTTGTGGATTTGATACAGGGTTTTGATTGGTTGAGTAGTCAGGTGGGGCATGGTTTGGGGGGCTGATAGAGGGTACAGACAAAAGTGACGATTTGGTTTCAGACAAAGATACCATCGCTGCCACTGCTGCCGCGGTGGAGAAGGTGGAATCTGTTGATGTGGTGGAAATAAAAGTCTGAGAGCTAGGCACCAGATTATGATGTGAAGTGTTAGCTATAGAGGAACTGGAGATTAAGGATGTGGAATTTGTGACCAGTGTTTTTGAACTGCATTTGGCTGGGTCAGGTTTCTGGAAGATGTGGGTAAGATAGGGGGCTGAGACAACAGTCAGGGGTAGTTTTGTCAAGGGCTTGGTTTGCTGTGTTAGGTGGCTGACAGTTGAGCAAGTTGTAGAGGAAAGGATGGATTTGATTGATTCCTGGTGAGAGACTGAGCTCCGCAGTCTTGTAAAACTTGAGGACTGACCATCATTAGAGGACATTATTGTGGCTATTGATGTCGTATCCGTTTGGCCTAAGTGAGGCTTGTTTAGCCTAGAAGATTGAGAAATCTGGCTCAAGAAGGTTTCAGTTTCACCAGCTGTTGTTATAGTTGTAACTGGTGGTATGGCTGTTTGGCTTGTATGTGGTTTATTTTGGCTTGACATATGAGAAATCTGGCTAGTAAAGGTTAAGTTATCACTAGATGTTGATAAAACTGGAGAGCTTGAAAGTAATAAAGATGGACCTTCATTACTAGTTTTAGGTACAGACTCTACAGTAGTAATAGGGTTAGTGAAAGCCAAACCAGGATTTACAAGCCCAGCATTCAAAGCCTGTGATGGCAGGCGCACTACAGCTATGGGAGATTTTGTAGGAGTCTGCGTTTTATTAGCGTCAATGTGATTTTTGACTGGTGAGGACCAATCAAGTTGGCTGACTTGTTTAGTCAGTGCTGGCTGCATAAGGGGGCTCACCGTGGATTCATGAGTAACAGGATTAGAAGACTTGCTTGCCGTTTCCATGGAAACTGTGGGTATCTTAATAAGTACTGTTGGAGTGAGTTTGGGAACAATGGGGGAGAAAATTCGACTTGGATTTGAAATGTTGGTTGTACTTTTACTTGAGATGGGTGGGCTTTGAAGAATGGAACACAGCTTCGATTGGTTTGTTTTGATTTCAACAGATTTTACGTTAGTCTTTTGGGGATTGTTGGTTTGATCTGGGTTGTTGGTAGAGGGAAGTGGCTTGGTGAAAACAACACCCCCGGGACTAGAGATAATGCTGCTGATGAGATTCAAAATGGCTGCTGATGAAAGGGAGTCTGCAGGGCGTACCACACAGGGAGTTTGAGATTTCTGAGCATTTGTTTTAGCCAAGTCTGGTGAGATTTTATTGCTTGGGTTAGATACCATCATTGGCTGACCAAGGGGATGAATTGTTGATGCAGATAATGAGGAATTTTCCATATTGTTTTTATGCACATCATTCTTAATGTCTGGCTCTCCTTTCTTCAATGAATCATCCTGAATAATAGTTGATTCTTGTAAGACAATAACACCTGTATCGTTTTTTCCTGTTTTTAGGTGGTTGTTCTGCGAAGAAGTGCTAAGGTTTATTGGTACAGCTATGATTCTTTGCATGGGCACACTGTTGGGGTGAATTTGAGTTGGCTGTAGTGTTGATATTGCAGTTGTGCTGTTGACCATTTTGGGTGCCAAAGGTATGCCAAGTTGTTTGTTAGCAGTGGAAGATGTTGAAGTTGTGGCAGTCAATATCAGCTTCAGGGGTGAAGTTGTTGGAAGGGTTGCATTTGAGTCTTCTTTACCACTTACTGGTGTTTTACAGGGTGTTGATTCATTACTTATGTCAACAGACTGAGCAGGCGCTGCAGTACGAACAAACACGTAGTTGGTTGTGTAGCGAGCTAGACGCACTGGCATGTTTTTGATGTCCAATGGACTGCGGGGGTTGGGGTTGTGGCTTATGGTCACTAACTGTTTGTGTGTCACAGTTTCAGGCGTGGCTTTTCGTAAACTTGCTTGGATTTGACTTGGTATTAAAGGTGGAAGAAGCTTATAATTTTTGCGACTTGAATATTTTTTGAAGACAGCCGCCGTATTCTTGTGTGGTTGCTTATTTTTAGGGCCACTTGTAGACTGTTTAGTTTTAGACAGAGTGCTAGTGCATGGTTGCTGCAGATCTATTTGATTTAATTTTGACAAGTTAGATGTAACAGAGGTGGATAGACTTTCCAATAGCTCCAGGGTAGTTTGTTGTTGTAAATGTGAAGTAGTTTTATTCCCTTCACGAAGCTTAGACTTTGGATCTAAAAGAAAATAGAAACTAATTTTAAAATGAAAACAAAATGTAACAGATGGTAGACAATTACTTGATGCTATAATTTAAAGTTTGTCAGCAATACATTTTTTATGCATTTCTTAGACCCAGCTCTTAACCTTTGCTTGAAAAATGTTTAATAATCTGGATGATTTTACACCAGTCCAATAATAGACTCTTCCAAAAATAGGCGTGTTAGGTTGTAAGTAGTATTGTAATCTCGACTAGTTTTATGGTTAGAATTTAAGATTAGGTGTATGGTAGGACCAGGGTTGGGGTTAGGGATAGGATTAGCATTGACATTAACAAGCCATGTGTGTATTTTAGTTAACTGCCAGTAACCTAACACCCCTTTTTAAAGAAGATTCAATTATTCAACAGAAGTATAAAAATTCCCCCAATAATCTAATTAAGGTGATACCTTTATTTGACCAATCATCTTCAGGATTGTCTGTGTCAAGGTCTGATAAAGCACCACCAGCTGCTAGGCTAACTGCTTTAGTCAGCTGGTCTGCATTAATTGTAGGGAGGCTGTCAGACAACGGATCAGATTTCATATTTCATGGTCATTTCATTTCCTTGAAGTAAAAAAACAGTATCAAAGTAACAAAGTATTTTAAAAGTATTTCAGTAATTTTAGACATCAGTTTTAATTATCATAAAATAAAATCCCTAATTGTAACTGCATTTTTTTTCCATGAATTAACCAATAACATATTTTTTTACAATTTTACTGAAAAGCCCTCAATATTACTCAATAACAAAATTAAAATCTTTACTTTTTGATTTAATTTAATAATTAGGCTAGATCACTGCGCCTCTAATCTAGAGTCTAATTTTAATTTTTTTATTTTAGGCCAAAATTTCTAGATCTAAATTAAATAAACCGGCAGTGATCTCCCCTAAACTTTCTCAAATATTCTTATATAACTCGGAATATAGACATGATTTTTAATTACTTAAACTTTAAAAAATAGAATAGAATCTCATAGAAAAAAGAATTGCGCACTAAGCGAACGCCAAAACAAAATGTGCATAATAGTGCGCAATATTATTAGTACTTTATAAATTTACATGCATTTTTTGAGAAATTGGAAACAGCGTAAATTAGTACTTCCGGTCAACGGAAATTACTCAAAATTTGACAGAAGGTAGAGAATTAGATCTTTTACTTACATGTGAAATTTCATTTATCTATCTGAAATAGTACTCAAGTTATAGGCTTTTGAAAAATTCGAAGTAGAAAAAGTACCACTTCCGGTTATCGGAAATCGCTCAAAAGTTGATCAGGATGTACGATTTTGATAAAATACTTATATATGAAATTTCATCAACCTAGCTGTAACGGTACTCAAGTTATCGTGTTTATACACAGACATACGGTCAAGATTGCAAAATTATGTTTTTCCGTATCAGTGAGGTGTAAAACATCCAGATTTGTAAAAATCTTGATTTTTTTTTTTTTTGCACGATTACAATACTTTCTCTATACTTCGTATATACGAGAAAGTAAAAATGTTAATAAAACTTCAATTTAGGCCTACTTTTAAGTAAATTTAACTCTTTAACTTTAACATCCCTCACTCTCACTCAATGCAACTGTTACTGTGTGCTTGCAACTTTTTAAAAATCAGTCTGCTGACACTACTGACTAGATCTAGATGTAGTACTATCTAGATCTAGTTGTTACTACAGTAGAATCTACTAGCTACTACTCTAGCTAGTGAAGTTATGATTATGAGAAGCGACTAGCACTAGACTTCTAGAGGCTAGTCAGTAGCCACTCAAGTTACTGTGACTGTCACTGTGTGTGTTTACTGTTTGTTAATCTGATACACGGTTAAAATCCCGAATGCAGTTGACGATATATTATAGATCATAGATCTATAGATTTAATAAACTAACCCTAATAATAACAGTATTACCGTCACCAAGCCACGGTATCTTAGTGTAGCCAAGTTAAAAGGAAATAAACAAAACAGTCAAAGCCTATTTATAATATGGAAAAAAATAGAGTGATCGTTCTTGGGTTTGTGTAAAATCTTCATCTAATCTTTCCTTTAAAAAAAAAGTTTTTATAGACCTAGGCTATGATTTTCATTGCAATATTTGTCATAACAGAATAAAATATGCATCTCTCCTGGAATCTACGAATATTGCACTTTATGCAAGATTAGTAGCTTCCAACCAATCCCTGTCTCTTTATCATCATTATGCCTTGATTATACTTCATACTATGATAGCGTTGTAGTTGAAGTTATAGATCTCCTATAATCTATAGTGTGGATAGTGTAGAGTAACTAAAACTTAGTAAGTCCTTAGTATAGGGCCAAAATAAGCGTTAGTAATGTGATCAAAAACTAAAAAAAAAACACTTATTAAAAACATAAAAACATTTATAGATCTTATGATAAACCGAAAAAAAAGGTAAATAAAACAGGCCGAATTCGCTTTCAAATATGTAGAAGGACAATATTTATACGAATGAGGTATTATTGGAAATATACAGCATATTTTTCAAGTAAAATATAAGGTTTTTCAGACTTTGTTGGCCTAAAATCATACACTTTTGCTTGCATATGAAAAAAAGAATCACTTAATAGAATCTGGTAACAAAATCAATAGAGTCGTCGTTATGCGCGGTGCCTTGCGTCGACCATCCGAGCAGGGCCTGATATTTTCATTGTAGTCTTAAAAAACGTGTAGCAGCAAAATAGTGTACCAATTTGAGTGTTTCAATTGTTCTTAACGTTTTCCTCCGTTTCGGAAAAGTGGCATTTTTTTCCCTTCTCGAAGCATATCTATTATTACAGCCCCATTTACCACCGACAAACGCCAGCCCTGTACATAGGAAAGACAATGACAAACGTTTCGTTCACTCGTTGGGGGAGGGTGTTCCGTAATTTTGCGGTTAGGGGAAGAGGTGTTCAACATGTGACGTAACACTTTTGCATTTAAAGAAATTAATTGTATAAACTTAATTTTAGCCGTTATTTCGCGTTTTATAAAACTGTTTTAATAAATTGTAATAGAAGTGATTAAAATAATCTACGTTTACCGAGCTAAGTCAATATTTTATTGGGGTCAGAGTTTCTTCCAGGCATCTCTTCGGGGGGGGGGGGGGGGGGGCTCCGCCACCCGAAGAAAGTCTACCCCCCCCCCCCCCGAACGAGATGGATTTTATATAGTAAACATACACTTTTACTAGTGGTTTTTTGTGATGATGTGTGACACAGTATTTAGTAATTTATAAAATGTTTTATATTTTTACTTTTTAAATTGTTCATTTTTAATAGTTAATATCTTTCATAAAATGTCAACCAACAAAGAAGGATTACACTCGGGAGGCCTAGATTCGTGTCATTTCAACAGGTATACTTTTATAGTATTCACCGCTCTTGTTTCTGAGCATGTATTATCACTTCCGGTCTAAATTGTAATGACAATGAATATCAAACGGCTAGCGTTATTTGTTTGCTGATTTGTCTAAACATTATTATGTTAACTTAATTAGGTTAAATACAGACGATTACATTTTAAAAATTGGTTTAATATCGTTGTTAAATAAGAATTGTGAAAATGCAGAATATCATGCAGAAAATTATACATGCTGCAACAATACCAGCTTCTCCAGCTGACCGAGGTGCCCTGCCAGGAACGCAAAAACCGCTTGTCCCCGAGGTAGTCTCGATTTAATTCAAGATAGATCTAGATCTAATCTAGACTAGATCTACATTTTCTATATCTAGAACCTAGACTAGGTTTAAAAAATATGTGTTACATCTGATGATTAATAATGGACACGAGCGAGAAAACTCTCAAAGGTATTTGAGAGGTGTAGCCTATAAACTATAAATTAGTTTAAAAATCAGGCACGGCTTAGTTACAATTAATATGGTTATAAAATCCTGTCTGTCTGGTTTTTTTTGGACTTTACTAAAGATTGGACGTATTTGATGTTTATAATATTTTCGGTAACTAAATAAAAATTAAAAAAAAAGCAAAAACAATTTGGTTTTCACGTGTAATGGCGACATAAACAATGGCATCCTGCTATTGGATAGGCCGCCATTGATTTTATTGTACACATTGTAAGCTAAAAATAGAAAACTAGGTCATGGGTTTTTAAAATTTGCATTGTCATTTAAAAACTTGATCTGCAAAGTTTTGTAAACAAATAGTTATCGATCACTAAGTTACTGTACAGCCAATCAATATTTGTCTTACGAAAGTGAAACATCCGGTTATAACTTAGGCTTGTTGAAAATAAATAGAAATGTAGCCTTAAACTCAACAAATTATTTTCAAGTTCTCTGGATTTGCAACTTTTATAGCATTTATTCTAAAAATATAAAATTTCTAAATTAATTTTAGGCTTAAGTTTTTATTTTTTATTTTTTTTTACGGTCTAAATCTAAAAAGCACGTTTTTATTCCATATCAACAACATTATGGAAGGAATCTCGTCAACTCGCTCGCCTCCATTGGAAATTTAAGCTGCAGAATAGATCTAGTTCTAGTGCGTCTAGTCTAGAGGCCTTCTGTTTGTTGGGCCTTGATAAATTATTAGTAATATAGTAATATTAGATAGGCCTAGTAATATTATTAGGAATATTATTATTAGGCCTAGGCTTAAATATTTTTTAATTATTTTTTAGATCTGTCTCTAGGGCGGCTAGGCCCTATTTCTAGTATTTCCCATTCAGATTTTCTTGGCCTGTTGTTTATTGAAAGGCCCATCATTCAAGAATTATTAGTTTTACTAAGATTAGATGTTCAAAAGCCTACAGCTGATTTTAAATCTTTAAAAAAAATTGTACCATGCTATGATTTTTTGTTCTATCTTGACAATGTATTTTAATAAATGGAAGAATTTTAAATTATTTATTCACTCTTAACAGGAGCAAGGGAGTGGCTATATTGCTGACAAACTTGTTAAAGCTGAGAAAAGAATACAGGCCTATCCTTACGATACAGAAGCATGGAGCATATTAATTAGAGACGCACAGGTAAATGGTACTTATTATGGACACATTTCTTTGTACATTATTAAAGTTAAAGTAAGCGCTGTTAAATTTGTGAAGAGATTAACATATTGCAATGTTTATTTTTGTTGGCAGATAAGGAAAATTGAAGATGCAAGGTTAACCTATGAAAGACTGGTGGAACAGTTTCCAAATGCTGGCAAATACTGGAAGATCTATATCGAACATGAGGTTTATTATATTTACAATTCTTTTATCCTGATTCCAATAGATGAAAGTCCTGGTTGAGATAAAATGGTCCATAATTTCTTCTTAAAACAACCCTATGTAGGGTTACATGCTCTTCACTTTTGAAGTATGGTTACTCAGGTTGCCCAAAATAATCAAATTGATGGTTTCATGCAAGATATTTGATTTATTTTAGTAGGTGGGCATTTAAAACTTAAACTTAAATGACTTTTTTCGCACAAGCAGATCACTGATCAGTCAATGCTTTTATTCTTTCTCCCTCAAACACATTAATGGACATATATTGTATCTTTCTACTCCATTTTAAAGACTAACATTATTGGAATCAGGTCTAATTATTAAGTATATTAAAGAAAATTGAAATACTTCCCTGTGTTGGTTCATAAATTAGAAGTTTTCAAACAAATATGTGTTTGACTTTTTGCTTTGGGCAGGGTGGGGATGTGTTGTGTTTTTCCTTTACTAATCCCAATTTGATTTCAGCATTGTCAATACAATTGAACACTATAGCCTAAATAAACTTTGAGGTTGTTTAGTGTTAATATTTTTAGTGATTATCATTGTGCCTGTGATCTCTTTGTACAAATGATTTGAATTTGATGGATAAAATGTGTGTAGGAATCATTCAACTGAGTTTGACTTGTTTTTATACACATTATTCAGTGTTTTGAGTTTGTCTTTAGTTTTTTTTTTCATTGTTTTGTTGTCATGGTTTATAAATGGGGCTGCAGATTTTGAAGGTCAATAAACAATATACCGGTATTTTATCACAATGTGCTTTTACTTCATAGGACCACCATTTAAAATTCACCAGTCAATTTTTTTTCAGTAAAAATATTTAAAACTCCCATTTTATTGTCATAATTCTTTCAATGAAGTCAAAATCTGCCATTGCAAATATTCAGTTCGTAAAAACGTGAAACATATATTTAGTCATGTTTTCCCCATGTTTTTCTAAACAGTAATATTGTTATGAAGAAATGGCTGCATTCTTATTCTTTGGGAAGACCTGCTTTGATAATTTTTTTTCATCAACCTTAAAATAATTTGACTTGCCTTATATAACGAAGAACAATTTCAATACAATGCCAAAAATACACATACAGTAAACATTTTTACTTAGTATATTTTCAGTTAGCTTTAATGATTGGCTATGGCAGATGGGTAGATATATAAAAACAATCCTTTCTATTGTGGTTTCCAACTTTTGGTACTGTTTCAGAAGGTTTTTTAAAACCATAATAAAATAAGTTGAATTTGTGGACTCAAGAACATTTTTAAATAATCAAATTTATTGTGGATTAGATTGACTGCTTGGTGTTTATCCAAAACCTGTACCAAAATAAAATGTCGGTTTTATTAAGTTTTACCAATTAAACAAATCACCAGTTGTAATATTTAAGAAGAGTGAGGAAGAGAGTTGAATTCCCAGATGACGATGGGGCTTGCTGACTCTGATGAAGCCAGTTCTTTTCTATTAACAACTCGATTTTAAAAATTAAATTTAAATCCAAGCTTGGGCAAATGTTTGCAACTTTATAAAATTCATTTTAACATGTTTTATAAGTTAAAGCCTATTATTCTGCAGTGAATATTTCCAAAGGAAAGAACAATTTGTTCCAAAAATACTATTTTTTATAATGATGAAGTTACTATTCATGCAGTCACCACCCTACACTTTATAATTCAATTTGACTGTTACAAAAAAGAATTAAATACTGAGCGATGAAAGCTTTTATAAAATTTTAAAGCAATCTAAAACTCAAGTCAATTTTGAAACTGTTCAAATTTTTGATAGTACAGTACTAGTTCAATTTATTTTGTTTTCAATTTATTTTTATTTTTAAAATACACCTGGATCAAATTTTTTTTTATTTTTTAGATTTAACCTTAATTTGAAATAAAGATTAATTTTACACATTTACAATGGTTTTCTCAAGTTCTTTTTGAGTTAACATGGCTGGTCTTCAAAATACAATGATAGTTTATATCAAGGATAGAAAAAAAAGAAGCTATAAGTGAACTATTCTGCATGAGTAACATACATGTTCATATTTTTTATAAGAATAAACAAATGTCCCAAACAATTGACAGTCTGATGTTTTATCTTTGTTTTGTTTGTCATGGCTTTTTCAGTTGAAACTAAAGAACTTTGAAAGAGTGGAAAAGGTCAGTAATAAAAAAAAAACTTTTAAAATGTCAGTGTTTTAGTACCAAGATGGTAAGAGAACTGTTAAAGGTCTTCAAAATAAATATACTGTGGATAGCAATAATTAAAAATCAAACTTTATCTTGCAAATAAATTATTTAATAACAGAATTTCTTCATTGTTTGTTTTGTGCATTGAAAGGCATTACTATAAACATGCAAATAGTTATGGAACATGACTTATGATATATGTAATTAATATCTAAACCGAATGGCTGTTCCGCTGGTGTTAAAAAATCCTGTTTTGAAGACCTTATTCAGTGTTTTGTTTTTAGATTAAAAAAAATTCATAGTAAGAAATGAGCCAGAGTTTCTCTATTACTGCTGCCAAATAGCGTAAACTTTTTGTTTTTAACCATGAATTTGAAATATGTAGTATTTTTCTACTTTTACTATATAAAAAATTAAGACTATATTCATATTTTTCCAAATTTGTATTATTTCTGACAAAATAAAGAATATGAGCAAACATTTTTAGGGTTTTGTCATGTTTTGAGTTTAGCATGTTTACTTTGAATCTTTGTAAGCTGAAATAGTTAAAACTGAACGTTGAACACGTAAGCGATAATCTGCATGGATATCTTAATATAGTCATTTTTTTACTGTTCGAACTCCATTTTCCATGAAAACATCCTTATGCTGGTTTGGATAATTCTAGCTGTTCCAAAGATGCCTTATTAAGGTTCTTAATATAGAGCTTTGGAAACTCTACCTATCATACATCAAAGAAACTAAAGGTTCATTACCATCATACAGGTATGAAGTTACAAAAAACACTTTTAAATATTAGTTATCTAGCTAATTATTAATAATTTTTTTTTACTAAAAACATACACAATCTATATGTTCTAACTAATAACAGATTTTTATTTTAATGGCTTATTGCAATCTATTTTCATGGTATGAATTTATTTCAATTGGTATTAAAAAAAATATTATTTCAGGGAGAAAATGGCACAAGCCTATGACTTTGCATTAGAGAAAATAGGAATGGATATAATGTCTTATCAAATCTGGGCAGAGTATATCAGTTTTCTAAAATCTGTGTAAGTGCTCAACCATTTTTTAAAATACAATCTAAAAATGTACACTATCAGTTGATTTTGATTCCTTTTGTAGTGATTGTAATCATACATATATCTTACATGTACACCTATATCTTATGTGTACATATTGCTTTATTCTATAGAGAAGCTGTTGGCTCCTATGCAGAAAATCAGCGCATCACTGCTGTAAGAAAAGTTTACCAGCGAGGTGTGACTAATCCAATGATAAACATTGAATTACTATGGAAAGATTACACAGCATATGAAAATGTATGTACAATAGAAATCTAAATATATGTATCTGAGTTTAGAAATTTTATTAGATGCGTTTAAAACTTAACACAAACACGTTCACATAGTCCTCATCAAACCAGAATTGTTTTTTATCCCATACCCTCGTTTTTCAAATTGTAGATTTGATTTATACTAATCATCATCTTTTCCTGATCGTGCCAAAGATACATGGGGCAGATGAAATAGATTTCACCTGTTTACTGAGTTTGGTAGTCTAGTCAGTGGACTCAAGGACAACCTACATACTCTAACCCGTTATCCGAACCTTCGACTTTGGGTTAGCAGTCTGACCCCGCTTTATAAAATATATTTCTACCCCACTAAATTTGAATCTGCATTTTATTTTCAGTTTAAAACTTATTAAAAAATTTGATTCCATTTTTCTTATTTGTTCTCAGAGCATCAACAGTCTTATAGCCAAAAAGATGATTGATGACAGGAGTCGGGAGTACATGGGTGCCAGGCGAGTAGCCAAAGAGTATGAGGTGGCAACACGGGGTCTTGACAAAAACGCACCTTCCGTCCCACCACAGAATTCTTACAATGAAACCAAACAGGTACAACAATCTTCTATATGTAAATTAAAATAAAATGCTGGTTATTTTTGTTGCTGCTTATAAAATAGCTATATTTATAAAAACTTTGTTTAAAAAGTTGCAGGTTTAAAGTGATGGTCATTAATAAATCTACATATAGAAAGTTAAATTTATTATAACTATGTTTGAATAAAAACTGCTTCACATTTTGAACTTGAGTTATAATCTACAATTTGTAATACAGGTGGATCTGTGGAAAAAATACATAGCTTGGGAGAAAAAGAACCCATTAAGAACTGAAGACCAAACAATGATAACAAAAAGAGGTTAGCCAATATTTTTAATACAGTTTATTTAGTTTGTGTACATTGAGAATATTTTTAACCTTAAGGCTTATAATGTTTTGTCAAATTTGCTTATATAATATATGAATTAAATCATATTCTTTAACAACTTTATTACTTGGATATGTGTTGTTCACTATAAGGAAAATATGTGATTTTATTTCAGTGATGTTTGCTTATGAGCAGTGCTTGCTGTGTCTAGGTCATCACCCTGATATTTGGATTGAAGCTGCATCTTATCTTGAACAATCTAGCAAAATTCTTATTGAAAAGGGGGTAAGAACAAGCAAATAAATGCAATGTACTTTATGGATGAGTTGGTTACGCAATGCCTTATTGTGCTTTAAGTACAGATAAAGAGTAACTTATCAGCCTGAAGTTATATCTTTATTTTCTATCATCAGATATTTTTATTATATTTATAAGTGTGTTTTAAACAGGAAGAAAAGGAATTCCTGTTTGTGTTGAAGTTGAATATATATTTGATAGAAAAAACTCAAGTAATTATGGGATTTCTTAACATGAAACATAGCACAATAATTATGCAGTTTGTATGCATTTTTTTTATGTAGGATCAAAATGCTGGAAAACTTTTTGCTGATGAAGCTGCTGCCATCTTTGAAAGGGCCATTAACTCACTAATGAAAAGGAATATGTTGATATATTTCGCTTATGCTGACTTTGAAGAGGTTTGTTGATCACTCAATTTTTTTTAATGATCTTTTAATTAAAACTATTTACTTTTTTAGTAAGAATGTTATGTTTTTATTTATTACAGGGTAGAATGAAATTTGAAAAGGTTCATCAAATTTATAAAAAATTCCTTGATGTTGAAGATATTAAACCCACTCTGGTAAATAGATTTTTAAGATAAATTATTATTATTATTCATGTCTAGTTAAATATTTAAGTATTGTTTTACAGTATTATTTTTAATATTTATAGTGTCTAATCCTTCCAAATAAAAATACAACTTATGTAGTGTAAGATTTGTTATGTAGGTTTATTATTAAGATGACAATCATGAATGAAACAGAATAATTAATAGCTGTCCGAGTTAAGAAAATGTGAATTGCAAATTGTGTATTTCAGGCCTATATACAGTATATGAAATTTGCACGACGGGCTGAAGGTATCAAATCAGCTAGGCTTGTGTTCAAAGCAGCAAGAGAAGACAAAAGATCAGATTATCATGTCTTTGTTGCTGCAGCTCTTATGGAGTACTATTGTAGTAAGGTATGTTCTTTAGCACTAATATTTAGATACCTGTAGTAAAAATCATGTCAAAGTAACAATTTTTATTTATTGATTTGGTAAAAAAAAAAAATCACTATTTAAGTTAACTCTCAATGTTTTTAAAGATCAAGAAATTACTTTTTTATAAATATAATATAAAACCTTAAAATAAGATAATACTATAAAAGAATATATGCAAATAAGGTAGATTACTTGTTTATAGGTTCCTTATATTTTAAAGAAAATACTATGGTAATTTTTTGTTATCTGTTATTTTCTTAATACAGGAAAAGAATATTGCATTGAAAATTTTTGAACTTGGTCTAAAAAGGTTTGCAGAGAATCCGGAGTATGCTTCCTGTTACATTGATTTCATGTCACATCTTAATGGTAGGTCGAAGTGCTGCAATTACAGTAATTGTTCTTGTAGTAAAAAATGTAAAACTATAACTCACTTTCCTCAGCATTAAGATTTGATTTAGATTGTTATTTAAAAATGTATTTTTTTAACAGAGGACAACAACACAAGAGTTTTGTTTGAGAGAGTCCTATCATCTGATCAACTACAGCCAGAAAAATCTACGTAAGGACTGGTTGAAATTCCACTATTTAATTTTTTTTTAAAAAGATCATTTTAAATTTTTGAATAAAGCATCATATTTATTTTGTTTTTAAAAATATATTTTTCATAAATGTGAATGATTATTGAAAATGTGTTTTGTGTAAAGTTTAAATATTTACAATCAACAGAGATATATGGAGCAAATTTTTGTTGTTTGAATCTCAAGTTGGTGATTTGGCCAGTATTGTTAAAGTAGAGAAAAGAAGAGCTTCAACTATAGAAAAGGTAATATACTAAATAAAGAAAGATCATTTTAGTAGCTAGAAGTTATATGTTACTTATTTCTATACATATTACTATTTAAATTTAGGTCAAAGAGTTGTGATACTGTACACTATATGTTTCTGTGCACAATAAATTAAATGTTAATATTTTTTATATGATTGCCTGATTAATTTGATAATTCTTATTTTAGATACAAGCATTTAATGAAAAGGAAACAGCTTTGTTGATAGACAGATACAAATTTCTAGGATTGCTTCCTTGTGCTGATAATGAACTGAGGGCCATAGGTTATTGGGTAAGATTCATAAGACATAATTCACCTTTTTGAAATGTATTTTATGTCTTTGTGATTGTGAAACAAAATAACACTAAAGTAAAACTTTCCAACATTATATAACAATGCTATAGACCATCATACTTTTCTAAGACCCCAGTCCCCCATCCACAAACAAGACTACATTACATAAAGTTAATAGAATAAATTTGAAGTATAACAGTGTTGTCTATGTATTCATACAACCATTTATAAAATTTAAAGCAAAAATTTTGAAAAATTTGAATAAAGACAATCAAAGGCAGGTGGAGAGCATAGAACACCAAGTTTGTTAACAATCATATTGTATTGCTCCCATGGGTATGTGCTGAGGTTTTTCCAAGGTTTAATTTGTTTTTTCCTGGGTCTCTATGCTGAGTTTCTTCTCATGAAAATTATGTGTCAGGTCATTCAGTGAGCATCTGATGGAATGACACCCTACAAATCCTAGTGTTTTCTATTATAGACGCGATCTTGCTATTGCTATCACTAGAGGTAACACACGCTCACCTGAAATGAACTTATTGTGGATGTTAACCAATGTGTATATTCTTCTACCTGTAGGACTTGGTCAAGCATCATGTGCTGCAGCTGCCCACAGGTGGGGCAAAGTTAGCTCTTTTAGCAACAGCTGATGATGATGACGAAAAATCAAAACGGCCTAAGTTCCCACAGCCTGACACAGATCAAATGTTACCTTTTAAACCTCGAGCTGTTGTTCGTAAGTCACGTTCACTTGCATTTTCTCTTTAAGAGTATTATATACAACATGCAATATGTTCAAAACACAAAATGAACTTCTGCATTGATTGGAAATGAAATTTTAGCCTTCTAATATGTAATATCATATTGGATGTAGGAAAACAAATTCCTTAACAATAACTATACTAAATAGGGGTCGGCGTTGTCGAGTCGGTAAAGCGCAAAGTTGTTAAACCGAAAAGTCTTGAGTTCGAACCCTCTGGCAGATGAAGCTTGTTAGCTGGGGACAGCCACTCTTCTAGGAGAGACAACTCCAAAAGCAAACAACTGCTGCCTTGTAGTTTGTTCTTGGTTGGACAAAGGCTATGGAAGCAACTCCAAAAAGAAAAGCAGGCTGAAATCGGAGTCAATGGCTTCAATGGCGCATAACCAGTTGACACGTATACTTAATTGTGTTGGAGGGGGATCCCTTCCAACACTAAAATTAAGAACAAAGAAGAAGTCTATGCTAAATTAATTAAACTTATGTTTTATGAATCTAAGTGTTAAAACTAAAAGAGTGTTTTTGTCAACCTGTTTACTTGCAGTGTTGGGTAATTGTTAAAATGTTTATTTCAGCAACTGGTGCACATCCAATACCAGGTGGGGTGTTTCCTCCACCACCAGCAGCTTCTGTTCTACTGCAGTCATTACCACCCCCTGAATGTTTTAGAGTAGGTTCCCTTATCAATCATTGTTTCATAGTAGGATTCAACCTCACAAATTGACCTTTTTTTAACGATTAAAAAATAATTTTCATTAAATACAACCTCATTTCTAATTTACAGTTTTATTTCCATTCAAATTTTCTTTTACATTTGTCATTTTCTTTCTTTCATTAGGGTCCTCATGTGATTGTAGATAAATTAATAGAATTCATGAGGATTGTCAAGCTTCCAGATAGTAAGAATTTCTCTGTTTTAAATTGATTAACTCAAAACATTTTTGGTAGATATATTGCATTTTTGTAGATATTGCTGATAAAAATATTTAAAAATCCAAACCTTACACTAATGACTATAAAGTACATCTCTTTAACAATAACACAATTCTGTATGAATCAATTTTTATCTAAAGATTGTATCATATACACAATTTTGTTCATTATACCACATACTTCAACATTCTGTTTACATTTCCTTTAATACTGTTGACTGTTATATTGAATAGTCAATGTTTCTGTCATTACTAAAAATTGTAATTTATTTTAGGGCCTGTTGGGGAAGAAAATGGAAAAGATGGTGATTTTAGATTAGACCCTGGAACTCGACTCTCTATTGAGATAGCAAGTGGTGCCCGCAAAAGAAAAGTTACTGAGACAGAAAGTGATGATGAAGATAATGATATGAACTTAGCAGCACCTGTCAATGATATATACAGAGCACGGCAGCAGAAGAAAGTAATAAAATAATTAAAAGGATTGTTAATGTTTGTATGCGATGTATGCTTGATAAGGAATGTTTTTCTTTTTAATTATCATGTAAAAAAACATTTAAAACACAAAATTAACATTGATATTTAAAACAAGCTTTGGTCATGATAGTAATTGTTGCATTGGTTCAGTTTTAAGACCAAAATTTTCTTTTGGATAATGTAAATAATTTTTAAAATGAACTTCACCCATCCTTAATTGCAGCTATGTTACATTATGTTTTATCATTTAGCATTTTGTAATGCAGGATCATTCAATATTTTTTTTTAATACTGGCATCACAAACTGTTCCCATAATTTTAAAAAGTTCATACATAAATAATATTGAACATTTTTCTAATTTTAATAAAAAATTGTTCATTAATAAATGTACATATTCTTTAGCAAGCCATTATTTTATGATGTTTTTATGACCATTCATATCTAGCCTTTTTTTTTAAAATATTTATGGTCATAAAGCTTTTACTTGTCAGGCCTATGATCATTGATATTAAGTAGAAATTTAAAAAGTTATGGTATATAAGCATCCTTATACTTTTTTAATGTCTGCTGCTCATGCTATGAATTTTGTCATTGTTGTTTAAAAGTATTGAATGTAAAAATTGAGACAATGTTACAAAATAAAAATCACAAACAGCAAGTTTTTTAAAATTTTATTTTAAGTACTTCTGACAAGACCACATTTAATTAATATTTACACAAATAATGCACAACATGAGTCCCCCAACACACTTAATAAAGTAATCACTTAAGACATTTATATTAGAAAAACACATTTTCAAATTTCATGTGTACTGCATAGCCATAAACAGCCTTGTTATAATATCAGTAGTCCATTATGATAATATTGTGATAAATAAAGCAAGGAAATATATAGCTATTCTAGTTTCCATAAATTGAGTTTTGACATTTAAAAGTAAGTCACTGATCTTTGAGGGTAAAAAAATTATCATAAAAATGACCTTTTTTGCATCTACATTGTTGAGATGCAGGTTAATTGACTTTTTGGCTGACCAGAATTGAAACTGAACAATATTTCCATCGTCAGAAAATTCTGGATTGCTGCCCTTTTTTTTTACAGTAAAAGTTTAAACAGGTGCCAACAGTTTCATTTGGTTGTTGCATATTTGATTTCATCAAAAGCTTTTCTAGCTTTCCTCAGCTCTTCACTCATGAGCAGAAGTTCTTTGACTCTGGAGTATTTCTTGGGATCCTTACGAATAAGAAAAATGATATCTTCCACAATGATGCGTCCTGATCTACCAATCTCCATGGCTTTTTTGGTCTGATGAAAAAATAAGCACAACAGCATTACACATTACATAAACAAACACAAGTGTTAGAAGAAGATTAGGAGAGCATGGTATAGTACATGAATGGGAGCAAGTTAGTCTCAGGTTTTTTCTCTGGTAATGAGATGTTCCATGAGACTCACATTTAGATAAGTTAAGGCCAATGCAGACCACACCTAGACTACACTTATAGAAATCTAAGAAATAAGTAAAATCATTAGCCTTATTCGGTCAGGTATGAAAAATGTTATAAAAGACTCACCATTTCTGTAATGTACTCGATGACTAGATCTTCTAGGAGATCAACAGATTCAGTGTAAGGATTTTGATCATCCCCAAAACCATACATCATGCAGCGCACTATACATTGAATATAAAACAGTCATGACTATTAAATGTCATAATGTAGTCATTCTGACAAATTTAATTTAGCGTCTATTTTCAGTTTAAGGAAGACTAAATGAATGAAATATTTATTTAGACAAATGGATAATAATTAAAATAAGATATAAGATTTCTCTACGGTGAGAGAGAGTTTATATTTAAAATAGTATTAACCATTGAAAGGCTTACTAAAATAAAAATAAAAAGCTATCTTAATCAACAAATCTGAGTGAGGATATTAAATTAAAAATTAAAAGTGCTAATACTAGGCTAATAAAAACAAAACCATTTTTGCTGTTTATGAACTCACATTCTTTGGAAAATATTTTCTTTCGTTTCTCAAGGGGGGCATCTTCTTCCAAATCATCATCATCAAACTATAAATAAATGACATGACCATTAGGACCCAACAATCTACTATCATTCTCCTTTACAATAAACCTTTGTAGCATAAATATATATACTATAATATATAGGGCATTACAGGGCCTATATTTTGCATAGCAAAAACTATTTTTTTTAAATACTATATTAAATTCTAAAAACTAATTGAATTCTATCAATTCAGGCATATGTATTCCTAGTGATGGGGTACTGTTATTTTCTATGTCCAACACTAGTCCTTAAAATAGGTATTTTTTTAGTCAATTTAGTGTTATGGTAAGAAATTATTTTTATGCCTTAATGTTATGAGTTTTAGAAATTCGGCTAGATCAGATGCTGGCCAATGAATGAAAGAGGTGTGCATAACACACAGGTCAAGCATGTTTCCATACAATTCCCTTGTCACTTGTCAGGCATCAATGATTCAATATAGACCCAACTATCTGGGTTAGTTAGGGCTATGGCAGGAATCTGGTTTGTGTTGATTAATGTTGATATTAGTAGCAAGTCCTAAAATCTTATCTTATGATGCTGCCTATAGACTATATAAGATCTATATTGTTGGGCGTTGGGTAATCCGAGTAACAACCCTTTTTTTTAAATTTAAAATTGTGGTGTTATCGTCTAGATTTCTAGATTAAGATAGAATCTAGATTCTAGATCTAGACTAGTCACCTAGGTCCTAGAATCTAGATTCTAGATCTAGTGGTTTTTCATTATTTTTGTCAACTAGAAAATACTTGAAATTAATCAAGGACTTGTCAGTGTTTCTAAATCAAACTAATGTCAGAGAATACTTTCTAGTTTCTAAATTCTTTGTTTGATAGATCTACAACTTCTTGTTCTTGTCAATCATGATTCAATTTATTATTTATTTTTGAATTTATTATTTTTATTTATTTATAGGCCTATAAATATAGGCCTAAATATTAAAATAAATATTATTTTGTTTATTTATCAGCACATCAATCAAGGTTTAGTAGTATTTATGCCTATGTATTCTAAATACTTTATTCAGTTAGATATTAAATGTGTATCTATCAATTGGAAAATGCATTAGATCTACATGTTGCACGTTAATTCGCCTTAGATCAACATTTAATAGTAAGTTAATACGGCAATACCTCAGTCGTACTACTATCCTTGTCTCCACCGTCAGCCATTTTGAAATTGGATTTACCATCTTTCGAAAACTAGCATAACTCAGCAGCAACGTAGGCTATACTGATCTAGATCTTTACCGTCCTTCTAGCAAGGCTACAATTCTTTTACCCTGAAAAAAAAATAGAGAGAAATTTTTTTCTGGTTAATGGGTCTTCGACATGTGGACACAGACACCCACAAGTTGTGTCGGGATGGGGTGGGGGCGTCCTGGTAAACAACACACACACACACACCTTAGCTACCATCCATAAGCAACACCAACACCAGAGTTTCTTCCAGGCATCTCGTCGGGTAGGGTAAAGCTGTGCCCATTTAGGAATCAAAACCTTTGACTATTTTCCGAATTTAATTAAGTCACCACAAGGCTGGGAAAGCATAACAGTGAGCAGATTTTTTTCAGACATTTTTCTCCGGGAGAGGGAGCAGTTGAAACATTTTTGGGTGGGGGGGGGGGGGGGGGGAGGGGTGCACTTAAATTTCCGGCCGGGGTGGACACCGGTTAAAATATCGGACGGGTGGGGTTAGAGATGAGTTGTGTGGGGAAAAAAATGCTGGTGAATTGATACCTCATATAGACGTCGTTGGGTTATTATAAATAGTTTTTAAAAAAAACAACAGAAAAACAACACGTAAGCCTATCATTTATTCTGCTAATTGCACCCCCCCCCCCCCCCGCCCCATACCGATCCTCTTAACAGCAGTTAACGCTGTATTTTTCCTACCTTATTTTGTTCGGTAGTTCTCACGAAATTTTTCAACACGTATCCCGTTCGGTTAGATTCCGGGCGTCTTGGCAAAAAACACGAGCTATATTTCTATAAGTGCTACGACTTTTTGGATACGAGACCGCAGTTCAATTTACAAAAAGAAGGCCTACATTATAAAGCTACACTACATACAACTTTATTGTATATTAAGCTGATTTTCCCCTCTGCGGCTGGATGATATATAGTTGTCAATCCTGTTTGCGTTGATGTTGGTCTATATTTAGATTTAATTGGCATATTGATATGGTTTTAGTTTTTATTATATTTATTAAAAACTGTTTTCTTATTTATGGGTGCTTTTGATAAAAAAATCTTTGTAAAACTTCAGGCCCGAGCAGAGTTTCTTCCAGGCATCTCTTCAGGGTGGCAGAGCCCCCCCCCCCCCTTCCCGAAGAAAGTCTACCCCCACCCCCGAACGAAATGGAATTTTATATAGAAAACATACACTTTTAACAGTGGCCGCTCCCCCGGAAATTTTAGTCTGCCACCCTAAAATTTCAAGTGCCCCCCCCCCCACCCCCTCGGAGAAAAAAGGTCCAAGATTACAAGCAGTACTACTAACAGTTTACAGGGTCAGTTGTCACTGCTGTCGTCACGACAAGGACAACAGAACTTTCTATTCAGCAACCAGGTCATCACGACATTTCAATCAACCAAAACCAGGTCAGCTTGACATTTTCAATCAACCAACCCCAGGTCAGCTTGACATGTTTAATAACAAGAGAGTGGGTGAACATGGCGATTATTATTTATTTTTTTTTCATTTTTTTTTCATTTCTTTATAGTTTGAATTCACCGGTTTAAAGCGTTCTAGGTAGATTTTGGATCAATTGGCTGATTTTTGTCTGAGTTTGGTTCACTTGGCTGACTGGAGATTCCAGTGTTCGTTGGACAGAGTTATGGGCGCCCTACACAGAGTTTGAAGGCCTTTCTTCTTCGTTCTTAATTGAGAATATGGTGGAGGATTTAGACAACAAGCCTAACTTGGTGAATGAACCGGACTGTGGTCTCCAGATCAGCAGGTGCCCCATATAATTTTTCCCTGAGTGGGGTGAGCAGGGGCCAGTGTCTGACTCGCGGCTGGCTATATAAAGAACATTCCTGAAGGACGTGCTCCGTATTCTCCGGGGCCTTGCCACAAGGGCATATTTCGCCAAACCCGATTTTTAGTTTTTTATGCATGTGTTGATTTAGTCTGTTATGGCCTGTTCTGAGTCGAAAGATTATTAAAGATTATTTTCGTGTCAAATTGTAATATCCATCATCCATATTGTAGTGAGAGTGTGTGTCAGACAACATTTGTGTGTGTTTGTTTTTTATTATTCTTTTTATTTCTTTTGGGTGTAGCAAGATTTCCGGTTGTTTTTTTCCTTCCCTTAATTTTTGCCATTTGGTCCGCAATCTCATTACCCTGGATCTGGCAGTGGCCCGGGATCCACTGCAGCATAATTCTGCTGCAGGTATTTATTAGCCTTTCTAGTGCTGAAGGCCTAAATGTAACTAATAATCGATAAAAAGTGACGCCCCGGACTGTCAATCAACACTAACCACCGCCTATAAAATAAATAGATATTCGCCCAGCGTTTAACTTAGAAGGAAAATAAAAATCGCAGGGTTATTCACCAGGCAGAAGGTTTTGATAAACAAACCTTAGCCTGACAGAGTTTCTTCCAGGCATCTCTTCGGGGGGGGGGGGGGGGGGGGGTTGAAGCCCCCCGAAAAAATTTTACCGCCCTCCCCCCCTCCCCGAACGAAATGAAATTTATATAATTTATATATAAAATATATACTTTTAACAGTGTCCGCCCCTCCCCCGAAGAAAGTCTACAGCCCCCCCCCCCCCCCCCCCCCCCGAAAATTTCAAGTCCGCCCCCCCCCCCGGAGAAAGAAGTCTGGAAGAAACAATGTAGCCTGATGGATCTGACTCGCTCAATGGTGTCACTAGGTCAGGTGTCGTCCGGTGAAGGGACTTGGGGTGTCACCCCACCCCTTTTAACAACTTTGTATTACGTGTTAAGTGTCACCTCCCCACCTACTATTTTTATTATTTTCACTAGTTAAAATATTGTTTTGACAGTAACAATTAAGATTTTTCGGTTTGGTGTCACCCCCTAATAAGGTCATCCGGTGCGTACCGCACCGCCCTCCCCGTCCTCGCCTTGTGACGCCATTTCTGTCGCACGTTAACGCCCCAAAGTCTGAATGTAAATCATTACCTAGGCATTTTTCTATTATATACTACAAACTACAAGGCAAAGGGAGACCGCAACTTATATAATTATTATGGAAAAGTATAATATAGAGAGCTCAAACCTCAAAGACATTCGTTCTTCAAGAGCGCTGTAAAATCAGTTTTATGCAAATGCTATAAGACGTATGTGTGTGTGTGGGGGGGGGGGGCATCAGTGTTTCTTTCAGATGTTTTTCTCCGGGGGGGGGGGGGGGGAGGAGGTTTAAAACTCTCAGGGAAGGAGGTTGACTGGTTAAAGTTTATCTATCTGTATAAATTATACATTTTTTTCTATTTCGTTTAGGGGGGGGGGGGGGGAGGGGCGGGGCTGTGGGCGTGCTTCATGGGAGGGGGGGGGGAGTCCAGACATTTGTCCGAGAAAAGTAGACCAGGACAGATAACTCTGGAGAGCTGTAACTGGCGACACATAATGTCGCAGGAGTTGTTCAGGAACTTTCAACAAAGAAGGGGTAAAAGTCTGGCTTGTTTGTCTTTTAAAATATGCGACAAAGTGTGCCCGTGTGGAATAGAGATATTTTTGTAGGGTAGTATTATAGCTTTTTAGAGATGAAGCCCACAATAATAAATCAAAACAAGTGGCTTAGCGTGGAGTGAAAATTTTAAATTTTCTATCCTTAACAATAAAATCGCCAATACAGAAAGATATCAAGGCCCGTAAATGGGGATGGATCGGACACACGTTAAGAAAAGAAAAAGAAAACATTTCAAGGCATGCATTGGACTGGAATCCCCAGGGGAAAAGAAGGGTGGGCCGGCCAATGAAAACATGGAAGAGAACGGCAGAGGAAGAGGCGAAAACAGCTGGGCTCACATGGGCACAGATTAGAGGAGCAGCCCAAAACGGAGTCCGCTGGAGATGTGTGGTTGCAGCCCTTTGCTCCCCAGGGGCCACAAAGGAGTGATGATGATGATGAACAATAATAGCATAAATTTATAAATATTTGCACACATTTTTGCCAGAAAGGCACCTATTCAAAAATAAATTACTGTTATATCATTTTGATAAAGCTAATAGAAAATAAGAATCTATTTAAATACATATAAGATGCGAGAGAGAAATAGGTTATAAAAAACATAAAACCAATTTATCAATGCCACTGTTATAAAAAAAATTGCATTTTTTAAAATTATTGTGAGTTTCATTCAACCTTCACTCTATGTCACTTGTGACTTAAATGCACTTTTTAAAAAAAATTAAATGGTGCGTCATTACATGGACACGACTAAGCTAAGCCTGCACAGTAAAAACGCCAACTTAATTAATTCGCATAGTAAAAACATCAAGCTAACCAATCTACACTTAACAAAAAATATCTAATTAATTAGTCTGCACATTAAAAACATCAAATTTCCGATAGCTGTCTCTCGCTTTGTATATAGGTGGCGCTGTGTGTGACAGATGACCTATTGTTAGCACGGTTGTTCATTAATACCCATCACTTCTATGTTAACTTGCAGCATTATATATTTTTATTGCACACCTACTGCTCTAAAGCTAATTCCCTGTTCTTAGTAAATTATTCACATGAGTAGTTATTCAACGAAACAATTTTCAAACTTATAAAATTTTAATTTTTTAAAGTCTCTCAGTATGTTCCACGCCTCGCCTACTCCTCGAACCCAGTGTTTCGTGTTTCTTTCATACATTTTTCATCGAGTGGGGCATGCACTTGAACTTTTGAAGGAGGGGCACAGTGGCGTTGGCAAGGGGGGGGGGGGTGGTGGTTAGGGGGTTATAACCCCTCACATGGACCCCGACCCCTATATATATATATATATATATATATATATATATATATATATATATATATATATATATATATATATATATATATATATATATATATATATATATACGTATGGAAACATTTTTTAACCCCTCCCATGACCAATCCCTGGCTACGCCACTGAGGGGACCACATAATATATTTTGGGTTGGGGCACTTTAATGTGAGGGGGCGGAGAGGGGGGGGGGCGCACTTACAATTTTAAAAAGTATTTTCTATATAAAATAGA